TAAGTACGTACCATACCTATGGACCCTGATTGCCATCTGATTAAGTGCGGATTGCATGGTTTGGGTATTATCGCACAGTAGGACAATATAATTCGCGTCGAGAAGTCTTTCTCCAGACAACAGATCCACACCACCATTACCTACATCCGTTAGAGCTGTTTCCAGAATGTCGTCGATAGCAAAGTTGAAGAGGAATGGTGAGATTGGGTAATCCATTATAACCCCACTGCTTGAATGGAGCAATGGAGGTGGTTTTATGCCCTCGCTCTGCCTGGGGTGTTTATATATGGGGCTTTTAAGATGTTAATAAACTTTTAAGTCACACCTTTCTTCAATAGACAATCCCAGAGAACAGTCCTGTCCAACGAATCGAAGGCAACCGTGATATCAAGAAACACTACGATTGTTGGCCTGTGATAAGTATGACGGTGTTCTAACAGTTGGCGGAGGGTGAAGATATGGTCAATGCATCCTCGATTAGAATAAAAACCAGCCTGCTCCTCGCAAGTCAATCTTTCACGGGTTTTGAACAACCTACAAAGTATAACGGAAGCCAATGGTTTGGACGGAATCGGAAGTAGACTTATCTCCTTATAGTTGATGCAGAAACGACGTGAAGCCTTTTTAAAAATTGAGAAAACTATCGACTCATTCCAGACCAGTTGAACTGCTCTTCGAAAAATTCTGCCCATCGTCCATGTTGTTGATTGGCGTCCCATCATCTTCAAAAATTGTTTCACTCACACCAGAAATCGTGTTGCCAGTGACTCGGATGAGTTGGAAGAGCTTCCGTAGTTATTATATACAGCTGCTGCTTCCAACTCATTGGCATGCTCCGACTATTAGGCTCTTCAGTCCTTACACAAGCTTCGTTTGTGGTCAAACTCGCGGTTACCCGGAGAAGACCGAGGGGCTTCAATGAGTTTTAAAGTGCCTAAAGAAACCCAGTGCTTATAGGCGGGTTGTTTCACAAATCCGCAAGCGACTTTATTCGCCATTTTCATGGCGTCATGCAATTACAACCAATGTTCAACTATACTTCTCGGTGGAATGGTAGCTAGTGTTGAGCCTAGCTAGGTTTGATATTTAGTTGCAACATAAGATGCAACCAATTTGCTGACATCGATTTGTTTGGGACGATGAACTTGTTAGCCACTGAAACGCAATGTAAGATTAGGGCATGATCATAATCCAGATAGGTACTTTAAGAGAATCGGCAATATTGTACACAACCATGCCAGTAGTAGCTGATCGCGATATGATCAACCTGAGTCTAGGTTTGAGATGCAGAGAGAGGACGCCAGATGGCACATCGAAGATGACTGTGTTGGAAGTTAGTCCCAGTTAGAAACAGGTTATGGTCTGCGCACATTTGCAGTAGACGGTCCCCGTTATCTGGCTTGCGACCTACAAGTCCCCATTGACCACCTAAACTATATATATATCTTTTAGCTTGTGTTCGTATTTTGTTTCCTCAATGCCGTTCTACAGTTCCCAAAAAATAAACTTTTCAAAATTTCTTTTTTCTGTATTATGAGTCTAGACCGGAATTCTTTTACTTTTGTTATAAATGTTTTCTCTATAAAAAGTTGAAAACTATTTAATGCGTTATCTTCATAATATTTTCGTCTGATTGACATTTCCTGATGATATGCAACATTTTAATGGGTTATGGAACACTGTGACTACAAAATTAGCAATTGTGTAATAACTCAAATCATTAACCAAACATTTCATTCCTATAGGTATGCGTGTGTGTATGCGCTAATTGTTTGATAGTAAATATCATCTCGATTTCTAATGGATCACTGGTGGAATATATAGTATCAATTATCCAACTGCTCTATGACTGCTTTTTCTGTTTTCAGAAGACCATTTGAATATTTAAATGAATTATTATGATGACTTGAACAGACAGTACAATAGTTGTTGGTTATCAGTCAACTGAAGTCTAATATTCAACCATCCTCGGTATGTATAAATTGATGGTTGAATGGTAGACTTGTTAACTATCCGTTTTTGAATTCACTTGGCATCGTGTACTTGGATATTCTCATTAATATTTAGGTTACAATTGACCAGTCTTTTATTGGCATATTGGCGTATTGCCTTAATTCAAAAGCATTATAAGCAAAGACGAATAGTGGCTAGCAGTGAAATCCAGCTAGCTAAGTAGATAACGCGATGGCGTTTGAAGCAAACGGTACTGGGTTTGAGTCCCAGGGTGAATATCAACTATAAGATGCAGGTACATCCACTTAATGAGTCCCAAGTAGGACGGAACGCGCGTCCTGGATTCCATTGCTAGCTACTATCCATCTTTGCTTATCCATTTTTGAGTTATTTTAAGCGCAATCTATGTGTTCATTATACTTTTAAGTGGAGTGTAGTCCATTAGATTCTAGTAATATTAACTAAGTTATTGAAAATCTGTTGTCAGTTGGACTTTTTTTAAACAATATTTTCAGTTGCAAATACTTTTCTCTAATATCAGTTTGATTAATTTTTTTACAGGTGGAATAAAGTTCTGCTTTCACTTAGTAATAATAAGTTTTACACATTTTACCCCACCCTAGGTTCTTTGTTTCTGTTGATGCAAAAGATGATAGATATAGTTAACTTCATATTTTTCGAGCAATTATTAAGTCTATATTTTTGTTGAAGCTTTATTTTCATGTATAACTCACGACTTCTTTCTCACCAATATTAACGGTAGAAACATGAAAACTCCCCCCATGAAATTTAGCGTCCTAATACCATATTAAAGCATTAATCTTTATAAGTCCAGGTTTCTGTTTTAAACTATATAACTATTTCAGTGGTAGCTCACTGATGAGCATCAAAGAATAATCTCAGCTGTTTCATAAATACATGTACCTGGATGATGGCTTTCGTCGTTCTCTAAGTTTCCGCCCCATACAATAGAACTGCTTTGACATTTGTATTGAAAATTCTAACTTTGGTGTTGGTTTACAGTTGGTTTGAGTTCCAGATGTTCTTCACTTGTAGATATGCTGCTCTTGCTTTGCCGATCCGCGCCTTCACATCTGCATCAGATCCACCCTGTTCATTAATGATGCTGCCCAGATATGTAAAGGTTTTTACATCTTCCAAATCTTCTCCGTCAAGTGTGATTCGATTGTTGCATGTTGTTGTTGCTTTTCCCATTGTGTATGTTGAGACCTACTACTGCTGCGTCACTGGTCGTCTTCTACATTTGTTGTTGCGTGTGCGATAGAAGAGCCAGATCATCTGCGAAGTCTAGATTGTCCAGCTGCATCATAGCCGTCCACTGTATTCCATGCTTCCCCTCAGATGTTGACGTCTTCATGATCCAGTCGATCACCAGGAGAAAGAGAAAGGGTGAGAGTAAGCAGCCTTGCCTGACATCGGTCTTTACTTCGAACGACTTTGTCAACTCTCCTCCATGTAAGACTTTGCAGTTTAATCCATCATATGAATTTTGTATGATATTGACTATCTTCTGAGGCACGCCGTAGTATCGAAGAAGCCTCCACAGTGTTGTCCTGTCCATGCTGTCAAATTCTTTCTTGTAGTCAATGAAGTTGATGTAGAGCAATGAATTCCATTCAATTGATTGTTCCACAATGATTCGTGGTGTTGCAATTTGGTCTTTACACAATCGATCCCTACGTAATCGAGCCTGTTGGTCTCGAAGTTGTGCGTCTACGGACTCCATATTGTTTAACAATACCCTGTTGAAGACTTCCTGGTATTGAAAAAGGAGTGATTCCTCTATAGCTCTCACACTTGCTTAGATCGCCTTTGTTTGGAATCTTGATCAGATGTCCTTCTTTCCAGTCTGTTGGTACTTGTTCTTCATTCAAAATCTTGCTGGAAAGAACATTCATTACCTTTACAGTTACTGCTACATCTGCTTTCAGTGCCTCTGCTGGAATGTTGTTTGGTCCCGCTGCTTTGCCGCTCTTGATTTGTCTGATGGCTATGTTGATATCTTCAATTGTTTTTTGACCAACAAAGTGTATTTGTCAGTTCATGCTTTATTAGAGCCATCGAGTACGTATACCATTCAACACTATTTTGAGAAACGTTGTTTCAGTTATCTATGCTAAATTTATACAACCATAATTACCTTGAAATCATGGGGAAGTCTATTCTCTAACGTTGCGTTTAGCCGTTTTTTCATAATTAAGAATGTGTACTTTACTCACTGTTCTGGTTAAGAAGAAACATATCCTAAATCTTAATTTATTGCAATTAAAAATTGATAATCTGATGTGCATAAATTTTGCGACAGTATTTCCCACCAGATTATCATCATCATACTGAAACAAAATTCTTGTATAAACCTGTTTGTCAGCAATTATTCAAGTTGATATTCCATTCAATATCCTAATGTCACAGCGTTGTTTTTTGTTGATAATTTTCAAAGGTTGAATGTAAAATTATGAAATTTTATCCAACACTGTTCAAAGTAACATTATTTTTTATCAAACTTCGACATGCTATTGTACAATGATTATACAACGCTTCAAGTGAACAATGTAAACGAAATATGGCTTTACGAAATTCATAAATTTATTTCTCACCATCCATATGTATGCCTGAATGAATATTATGAATTCGCAGCTGGAGTCAGTTCACTTATTTCAGTCGCGTTCTGATCCAGACCTCATAATTTATGGTAAATTAAAATTTGTTGTACATAGCACGTAGTGAAATCACAAAAACTCCCCAAGTTATTTTGAACCAATGAAACAATACAGTTTTTCTTTTGTTATTGGTATTTTACTTCAAATAGAATTTCAATGTTTGTCACAAGTTTTTTAGCTATTCATGGATTTCACGAATCGACTATGACTATTATGACGATCAATAAAATGATGTATGTTTAATGCTACCTACATATTACGTTTTCTGTCTATAAACCATTCTATTTTAAATGAATATAAAAATCTAATTATATATCTTTCGTCATATTTTTTAAATCTCTTCTCTGTTTGTATACTTTCGATCAGTAATGCGACGAGGTTGTCCAAATGATTGCAGTAATCGTGGTGTGTGTGACGGTGGTGTTTGCGATTGTGTGAATGGATTCAAAGGTCCAGATTGTTCAATAGGTAAGCGCAACTATATATCAATTCGTTTTTTTCCAATACTGTTGAATAGTGTTCATGTTTCCATGTTTGATGACAATAATATGGATGTTTTAAAATCTTAACCCATTTATCGAAATTCCATAATTTTTTATCCTTAATGCGGTAAAAAATGATGCTGAACTACAAAATTTTATTATTTCTCATATTTATATATAAATATTAGAATTGCTTTAACTTTCAATCAGTCTTCAAACATAATCTTTTGTTCTTTGGATATAATTTTTTTATTTACTCACATTTTAAGCAACAAAATAAACCAGATATCTTGTTGGTTTTATCGACTGATAGATGGTTTTCCTGTTTTTATCACAACTGAATACTTACTTTATCCGCTTTATAATGTTAAGCTACTTAATGATGTTTAGAAGTAGTGATGTGTATTTAACGCACGGTTATTTTCAAGTTAATCAGGGTGACTCGTGTAATAACACAAAACCAACATGAATAAACTTTTTCTCAATGACTTTTATCACTGACTGTTATCAATAGTTAGAGAACTAGATGGCTATCTCGCCATAGTTTTAATGCTCTCTGATTTTCAGTGACTATTTGAGCAGCTAATCCCTGATTAAAGCTATCTTAAAAATAAAAAAAACTTTTAAATTCTTGTCTTCCAAAGGTCTGTATGTGGCTTCCGACCGGCAGAATGAAATTCATAAATCTTAAGCTATTCGCTTAACTCTGGATACATTTTTATGTGTTTACTACGTACCTCTATTAATTTGGTTTAAACTATTTACCGTTGGTTACAAATAGTCATTATCATTAAAACATGTTTTCATTTGTTCTGGTGATTAATTTTTTCCTAATGACCTTTGTGTCTAGTGTCTAGAATTTCGATTAAAAACGTTTTGTATTTATCTTTCAACCTGATGTGTATTTATACATTTATCTCATTATTTTTATTGATAAAAATCTAATAACAATCACTATAGCTGAGTTACCGAAAGTTTGCAGTGGGCATGGTGATTACGCATCTGGTGCTTGTCGATGTTATCCTGAATGGAAAGGTCAAGAGTGTCAGACATTATGGTCTGAATGTGAAGATCCTACCTGTTCAGGTAATGGTCGTTGTGTTGTTGGTGAATGTCAGTGTTATGAAGGTTATGCTGGAAATTTGTGCCAGACACGTAAGTCATTTTAATTAATTAATAACTATACTTCTGTTATCGTTGCTCATTAATTTATATTTAACTGATTGGATGTAATTATGTTTAACGACTTCTGTTTATTTTCATTTACCATATATGTTAATTACTTAGTTAACTGTTTAATCTATTTACAACAACAACTACTACCATTAAATAAACGGAACCTATTGATGTAATTGTTTTTTTCTAATTTGTAATTTTATAAATTTTCTACTACGACTATTATTTTCACTTAACTGTCTGTCGATTGTACGTGTATATTTTTACATGCATTGAGTTTTTTTTATATCCATTCATTTATACTTTTCTATTGCACACCTATATGCACACACAGACACTCGTCAATGAGCATGTAAGAGTTGCTGGCAAAACTTATAATTATGCTGGATGGCATCAATATAAAATAATAAAATCGAAATATAATTACATAGTAAGTGAAAAAAGAAAGCGTTAATGATTAGTTTGGAGAGGATTTCCACCGTTAATGATGAATAGTCAGTCAGTCAGCTACAACGTAGGACCAGGCACATATGTGCGTCGGTCCAGGTTGCCAAACCACATCAGCACAACAAGATGAACACCGGATTCATAGCAGTGGTTAATGTCAAAGGTGGTAATATATAAGAGAAAGATTGCATATAGAGATATAGTACAGGAAGAAAGAATTGGTTCGTAGAAAGAAAGATATGAAGTGATTTTAATCTCTTAGTTTAAGGGAAGACAGGGAGTGTATACACCGACGCCATTGTGATCGATTCTGATGATGAATAATGAAAGCATGACTAAGTAGCTCCTTTGTTCGAATGCTTCTCTAATTAAACCTAGAATATCTAATTCGTACGACGTCAAACGCCGTTAGTATCGAATTAAATTCCTTGTCTTCTGTAATTTCAGTTACCTTTTTGAATTGATTCATTTCAAAAACATTGGTTGCTAATTAAAGCATCAATATGATTATAAGCGTTCAAAAAAAATTTTGCATGAAAAAAATTACACATGGAGAGTTAGTTTTCTATTGTGAAAATTAGAATAACACATAAGCGAACAATTGTTTTCAATTAGATCGTCATCAGGCTGTACTCTAATATACATGAATATTTATACAAAAAATTTTAAACCAATCAAGGCAATTCGGGTCAATAATCAAAATGAAATAGAATAATTCTCTACACATAATAGGTAAAAGTACAAGTTGATAGTAGTAGGAAGACAGATGAACTGATAATAGTGAGAATAATAAAATACAATAACAAAACTCTTATCAATAGTTAAACGTTGGAAATAGAAGGTCAAACAAACATGGGTAAATAGACTAGGAATAGTAATCACAAAACATTAAAATCATTACGTAATAAGATGTGTGTAAATAATCAGATGGCTTCAGCTATATGTAAGAGGCGTGAACGAACTCCGTTGGGAAATGATGGAGGTATACGATAGATAACTCGAAATGATTTCGATTTATGTACAGCATGAACGCTATCAATGAGATGTGCCAAGATAGAACTGCGAATAGATTTTATCTGGCCCTTCATGTACCAAGTTGGTAGATGTTCACTCATTCGTTGGTTAAGTTGCCTGGTAGTACGCCCTATATAGCTACCTCCACAGGAGCAGCTGAATTTGTAAATGCACATAGAAGAGGCCAACTCAGGTAACTTATCCTTCGTTTGAGTAGACATCGCTGGCCGACAAGAGAAGGTCAACGCAAGATTGGCTGCGTAGAATGTCTTCGTGATTACTTTAGTTAACCTACATTTCAGAGTGTCACTAGCCACATCCCCGTTGAATTGCACTTTAATGTATAAAGGTTTCTTACGAACAGTCGAAATCTCCCACTTCTTTATTATGCCATACATGTTCTTCTTAATGAAAGTACTGGGGTAGCCGATCTCGGTCAGTGAGTTGTTGATAAATTCAAGCTCCTGACTTAGAGTATCTACTGTACAGATCTTTTTTGCTCTGCTAGTGAGACACCTGACCAAATCTCTCTTGTAACGGATAGGTGTGAAACTGAAGAAGTGAGTATATTGGCATGAAGAGGGGTTTCTTCCATACACGCTTCTACTTAATGTGCCGTCACTTCGTCGGCTTAGTGTGACGTCAAGGAAGTTCAGCTTCTTATCACGCTCGCTTTCACCAGTGAAAGTGATCGCTGGGTGAACACTGTTGAACTGTTCTAGGAGTTCCTCCTTACTGGTGTTTTGATCTACGATAATGAAGGTGTTAACGTAGCGGCAACATAAATCAAGTTTCTTAATAGTCTCATTCAGAGGTCCATTTTCTAGCTTTGCTAGGAAGAGGTCAGCTAAAATCGGGCCTAGAGGCGAGCCCATGGCTATCCTGTCTATTTGTCTATAATAAGTATTGCTGAAGACAAAGTGTACATTCAGCGTGCATCTTAAGAGCATTTCCTTTAGACTATCGTTAGGCAAGCCAATGTTGATTTGTTTTTCTGATATTCTGATATATAAATATTCATATTAGAGTAAAGCCTGATGACGATCTAATTGAAAACAATTGTTCGCTTATATGCGTTGTTCTAGTTAGTTTTCTCTTCAACTTTATTGATTTATGAATATTAGAGATCGTCTTATGCTTTCCATTATTTATCAGTTAAGTCGTATGAGTTTTAACTAGCCAAGTAATTATATATCTACATGGCCTTAAAGGCAAGCGATAAATATCATAGCAAGAGAGCGATGAACCAATAAACATAAAATAATTTAGGCAGCTACGAAAAATATCTACTATACAGAATTATAGTCATCAATTCAAAATAAATAAATAAATAATTAATAAGTAAAGAAAACAGATTACAAAGATTAAATCATCACCAAAAGTATATCGTACATAAGATGAGTGACCAATAATTATGTGTTCCATATTCCATGCTCTAATCAACTCATGGATCTTTATACTGATGAACATCAATAGCAGGGAAGTTTGATAGAATGACAGTACTTGAATAGGTACATATTAATGAATGAACATGGATATATCATACTAATTTTAACTAGTCGATTTATTGATCAAATGTTTCCAGTTACTATCATCTTTATAATTTGTTGTAACGGGTGGACTGCAGGTTAGATGTGCAGCGTATTTATCGATCGCATCAGTGACACGTAAAACACGTAAGGACGACCTAGAGTCCCGATTGGTCCCGCTTCCCTGTCTAGCCCAGCCAGTTGAGTCTAGAACGCAAGTCACAGCCTCTGAGTTATGAATCGTTACATTCCAAACACACTCTGTTTATATACCAACCAACCAGACCACATTGTACCACAAAATAGAAAACAACATTTGTACAATATTTGACAGGTGAAATGAATATCGACCAATGGAAATGTCCATTTAACGTCCAAGGTCACCATTAGACTTAACACGATAATTATTGGTATATTCCTCTGTATCCCTAACATAATTGTACATCTTGTTCGTGGAATTATTCCCTTTTACCTACGTAATTTGATTGTTCTTTCCTGTTTTATGCCACAATAATATATTAGTTATATTAACTGCGCGAATTGTTTATATTTGTCTAGGCATTGTTTTCTTCATCAAACAACAAAACCCTACCAGAACGTCCATTTTTTCTAATCGCTATTATATTTGACCTGGTTCCTAGCCACTACCTACCTGGGTTTTCACTGTTGGCCTGTGTATAAACAGAGTTCTAGAGGTGGCCAAACCAAAATATGGCATGAGTCCGTGAATTTGTTAACTGTTGACCTGAGTCATTTTAGTACTCGTCCATCATCTAGTTGAATTCAGTGCGATAATCACCATCACCGGTTGTAGACCTTAGGTGATATGGACGCCTCCGCAAAGTCGTATTCTTGCTCTATTTCCTCCCAAATTTCCAGTTTCAAAATTATTTCATACCTTTATTCCCTCATTACATTCCTTTTTTTCGGATGGTATCCTCTATGTTTTGTATGTTTTACTACCACTAATGTTACTTTTATTTCAACCACTTTGCTACTTATCTTGTTGATTTTACCTTGCTGAACTGATATGGTATTAAGACTTTGGTTGATGCACTATTGTTCCAAGTCCTGCTTCAAATACAACAGATCGAAAATATTTGGATCCTATTCAAATATTCAACATAGGCTAATGAACTTAAGAAGTAGTTGAACAAATAAAAGCAACTTTTATCTTTATAATCACCTAACCTTATGAACATTTCTGCCTGGTTTATCGAAGATGGTGTCCGCATATATAAGGTTTATAATTTTCTCGTATGAACCGATAAGTACTGGCTTCGAGTCTCAATGTGAAAATCGATAATACGATCCAGGTATAGCCTACTGAAAATCCCTAATAAGATGAAACACGCATCGTAGATCCCACTGTTAACCATCCTGTCTTGTTTGTTATTTTTCATGACACTTCGGTTGTTTGAGATTTGTTTAACGAAATATCACTTATTACAATGAAAATAATTTCTGATTTGATTAGAACTTATTTTATTAGTTTCCCCATACGCTCAACCATGAAATTCTAACATCAACACTTTTTCCATAAATTACCACTTTATGTATGTATTTATTTTTTGATACAATAAATTGTAAATCAAATTAGATGAAGTAGGAGTTTTCAGTTCCTACTAGTACTACTACTAGATTTCTTTAGGGCCTAAACCCAGCATTACATTAGAAAAATTAAATTTTAAAAAACAACAAAATAATAAAGTCGGCATACATGTAATGTAGAAAGAAATAAGAAGCAGAAATAAGTAGTTGTTTCTATGTTTGCATATCAAAGTGAGAAATAGATAGAGATAGGCGGACACCGGATACCAAAAGAAAGCAAATGAAACAGTTGAAATTACTCGCGTTTGCAAATATATCTAACACATGAAAAAGGTTTAAAACAAATGCTTTTGGCCTCTTTTCTAACCGTCTCGTTTATAAAGTTTTTCTTTTTTCATCCTTGTAGTTTGGATGTATTGAATTTATTACAGTTTTGTTAGGTTCTTTGACGTCGTAATCGGGTGTTGATACTGTGGCACGATGTGGTTAAGTAATCATTGCTCACAAACACGCACTGACTGTAAATGACCAGTTGAATTAAATGAAAACACTGAACAATCGATCAAATAATAATAATATTTTTGCACTGACGTGATTGAACTTTTTTTGCCTAGGTTCCACAGAACGCATTAAAAACCCTTTTTAAGTTTTATTTTCATTTCATATTATTTATCGGATTCAGGAACGTGTATCTCTTTCAATTGTTCTGGTCACGGAGTTTGCATGAATGGAAATTGTCGATGCTTCAATGGTTGGTCTGGTATCGGTTGTGAGCTACCTGTACCTAATCATTTAATAAATTCTGAACTAATTCATCCGTCTAATGGAGCATCTACATCTGGTAACACGGGTAATGGAAATAATAATAATAATAATAATAATAATAATAATAATAATAATAATAATAAAATGTTTAACCGATTAATGATGAAGTCACTGTCTTCTCCTTCTTCATCGTCTGTACGAGCGATGGGATTATCATCCGCACCTGTTAGGTTGTTGTTGGATGCAGCATCAGAACAAGGTAAATTTGTTTATATGAATATTTCAAATCTTATTTATTCCTCTTGATTATGTCATACTTTATTTTCTGTCAGTTCTTTCTTCTTATTCCTATTTCGTCTCTCCATAATAATAATAATGGGATGCTCTAGTTGTTTATGTAACTTAAATAAATAATTTTTACCTCACTAAAATCGATTTGGTGTAATGTAAACTTATTTGTGTGATTTAATCAAGTTAGAAATCCTTAGCTTTAGATAGAAAGGTTATATTTCGTAGTTTTAAAAGTAATATGCTTGAATATCTTAGTATTTATTTGAGTCGTTTAATATTATTATTACAGACGACGTATATGTTCAGGTAACCAGCACACTATTTATCTAGTATTTAATCACTCGAATTTTAACCAGTGTCTTGAATCATGTTCTTATTACTTTTAATAGTGACCTCATAACAAGTGATCAGTAAAAGCTTCATATACAAAAATATGTTGTATTGCAGCTTGAAATATGATTGCTAAGGAAATAATCATTTATAGCACGTTAGTTCATCTAATGTAAGCGAATGTTACACGCAATGTTTGTCAATATATGTTAACTGATAAATTTAAGAAAATTTGTTGTAACTATAAATTATATATAGCAAAATATTTTTCGTCTTCTTAATAACTCGCAAATACAATGAAATGGAAGTCGTAAAGTTAACTGATAGTTACTGTCAAATACAACGAATATCTTAAGCTGTTTACAAAATCACCCTGTATTGTGTATGAGCAACACGAGCAAAAAACGTTAGATGATTGAACCTAAATTTCAACTTATAACGTCATGAAACCATTACTCGTAAGAAAACTATGCAATTATCTTTAAATCTGCTATTAGCATTTTCCCTGTTTTGTTTTCAGAATGCACACTCGACTGTAGTTCCCACGGTGTATGTGAATATATGGATGGTTATGATCAGCCTGTATGCCGATGCTTTTCTGGTTGGACAGGTTCCGATTGTTCTACAAAACGATGCGATACTCGTTGTTTTATAAATGGACATTGTACTAATGGTACATGTATTTGTAAAGTCGGTTGGAATGGAAAATACTGTACATTAGGTAATTTTCTAATCGTTCTCTTCTTTTGCATTGTGAACGAAAAAGTATGTGAATAATGTAGGAGATGTATTGACATGAAATACTCATCTGTTTGTGACACTAATTAGCCAGACAATTTTCCTTTTTGAATTTAATTTATAAATTATCCAAAAAGACATTTGATCGACATTCTCTGATCTTTTGGTAAACACAGTAACTGAATGTTTATCTGTAGGCATGTGAATCATACAGGTGTTCGCTATCTATTACATCAATTGAAAAATAGGAATCAGGTTGCTAATACCAAACTTGGGAAAAGCAGGTAGAACCTTGACCTTTTGGAAGAGCATTAATTATATCTCCAACTTTTGTTAGATTCTGATAAGGGAGTGTATATTGGTAGTATATTTTCAAATATCCAACCTGTTATATACAACTTATGACAGCATAAATTTCCATTTGACCAAGTAGCCACAACCTACATCAGACTCTAACTTAATGTTTTAACCTAAATTTGCATTTAATTTAGTTGATCGAAACACTTCGCTGTAGTGACTGTCGTTAAGAAGAATATGTGACAATGTCATAAGATCACTTAAAGTATTTAACCTGAATCAGGTAGATGAGGTAATGTTCATCGGTGCTCCGCACTCATTTATTAGGTAGTTTTGCAGTACTTATACTCCTAGATGTAATACTTAGTTTGGGTTTTTAGAAATTAATTTTGAACACTCGGACAATAGTGCTCTCTGATAAAAATTCTAACAGAACATAATGTTTTCTGAATAGTTTGGACGATGATAGATGATTGTTTCAGGTGAATTTATGTTCGATAGTAAGATCTTACGTATTTTTGATTTTTGTTCTGGGCTAATATTTTTTTATTCAATGAAATTTACTCTTGTTTTAAACATCTACTGAAAATTCTTTTAACGAATAAAAATCAAATATTTTGAGTAAAATTAGACAATACTCAACAACAATAACTTATTATTCATATAGTTACCTTTCAATATCCTCGTTAATCTTTATCTTTATTCGTTTACTGTTCTGTCTCCCCATCACTTGGGTAAAAATGACAATGCCTACCGAATGAACTTCGATTGTTACTTGCTAGTTAATTGGTTGATTTTTGTTCACCTCAATTTCTACCTTCCTTTCCCCTGTTCCTTTTTCTTCTGCTGACAAATGTTCATAGCCTGTTCACCGATTTGAGATAATCAGTCGAGTCGTCTAACGTTTATCCTCTAATAACTGTGAACATTAACATGTTAAATACAAATCCGAAATAAAAATGTTAAGCCAATGATATTACCTTGAACATATTCCATTCTATTTAGTAGGGTATCATGTATGCAGCATAATATATATTCCTAAATTGTGCTAAATGTAATATCGATTAAATGGTGATTTTTGCTAGCTGTTTGATTCAGTTTCTCAATTGGCCTTACAAATTATCTTCAAAATTTCCGTATTTTGCAACTATATTAGAGTATAAAAATGAATCTTTGTTGTTCCCTCTCATTTTTCATCTTACGTCCATATACTTAGTGAACCTGTTGCGGAGATCATGCAAGCTGTTCTTTTATTCTTTACTTATTTGTAGATGGTTGCCCAGATCATTGTAATGGACACGGTCAATGCATCATGAATACATTGACTAATTTTTATTATTGTCAATGTTCTCCTGGTTGGTCAGGTAGTGCGTGTCAACGACAAATCGAAACAATATGTGATGATGGGATAGATAATGATCATGGTAAATTTAGTCTATTAAATAGCCTTTAAGTTTTTAAATAGTATCAAAGATACAAGAACCGTCTAAGTTTGGACAAACAGTCTCACAATAATTGGACGCCGAGTTAATAGAATATATTAAAAAGGAAATTATATTCGTACAAGTCTCAGTGATTGATAGATTTAATAATAACTCCAACGTTTCCCTCGGCAATCAGATCCAAGCTAGTCTGTCTTTTTTTAGTATCACAGGGAATTTCTCAAAATCTAGGTCATTATTAAAATATAACACAAAGCGAATGATTTTATTTGCTTATTTGTAATATTTCTGTCAAGAACATTATTGGTTTATTATTATTATTCACTATTTAACTACACAAACATTGATACAAGGGAGCACCAAACATATATGTAAGGGCTGGGATACTGCCTGGGCTCCCAGACAGAAGCAGGTGGTTTTCTTAGAGGGCCACTCCCCGAGCCTTGACGTAGAAGTCTAATCCACAAGGCAGTGGAGATGCAGTTTCATGGTAGCCGGTGACCAACAATAAGTTCATACGCCATTTGTTCTGGAGCCCATGTACATCAATGGTTTGGAATCAGGATCTTCCAACTCCCCTAGGATGATTCTCCAAACATTCGCTTTTTGTCCTCTCAATTTCGCAAACAATACACCATCCGCGATAAGGCAGTGAGTAGGACTTCCCCGACAGTGGTCGTATACTCATGGCTATGTGAGGGCATTTCAAGAGGGAGGGCGGGCTCTGCCCACCTCCGGCCGTACCAGGAAATTTGGGGTTATATTATTGGTTATAAACCACTCGAAATACACCGGACGTAACAAAATTACGAGAAGTCAATGCTTCTTACTTGTTGGATGGGTAAGAAGAGACATGACAAATACACGTATATAGAGCTGAATATAACTATTTTTTTCATTGTGAAACAAAATAAAAATTTCAAAATATTCCTCTGCATGTTATGGGTTTGTAATATTCGTGTACTCAGCTATTATTCATACTATTTGTATTTGAACTAGCAATAATACTCGGCCTCTCAAATCCAAGTAACTAGTACTGTTGGATTCAAAGGTGCGAACTAATGGTTAGAAGTCAATTGCTTTGTTTTCTGAGTAGTGACTTCGCAATTACATCTCATACTGTCCCATAATTATTCATTGACATTATGTTAATTAATTTCTTTATAATCTATCTACATTATTATTACGGTTCATATTTGTCCTATAAACATCACCATCATCATGACAGCAATAAGATAATAATAGCATGAGTAGTATCTCGAACCATTCAGTATTCTGTACAAAGGGTCGCACATTCAGTACTTTATACACATATATTACCAGCCCTACCTATAAACAAAACTAATGAACGTAAACGGAGTCCTTTTTATAAAAATTGATCTTTTGCTTATATAAAAATAAAACATTTTCTTATAAAATATCTTGTTACTATATGCATGGAAAATGTTCCTTATGACTGATCGAATATGGAACTATTTTATTATCGTGTACTGATTGGAAATATATCTTTCTGTCAATATAGGATGTTGACAGTTAGCATTAAAAACAAAAAAATGCTAAATAGTTGGGAAAAAATTCATCATACGTGTATATATGTAAATGTGTATGATCTATCTCATTCTTCTAATATATATATATATATATATATATATATATAATACTTGTCACACTGTATTGGCTACGTTTTTTTAGTCTAATATTCTTGTTCAATACGAGCCTATCTCCCTGTTGACTCCATGTCGTTTTTAAAACGAGTGTCAAGACAAAATAAAATGTATTTGGTGTTTTTTCTATCCTTCAAAAATCTGTGGTGTTCATCTGAATTTATTTCATAATAAATAAATGATCTTGAGACTAGTTAATTTTAGTAGTTGTTCTTACCAATTACTTAGTTATACATTAACAGTGGGTTAAGAGTTTTTGAAACAAAAAATCTAATAATTTTATATTGTAATGTAGAAATGAATTTCCAGTTTTAAAATACCACTCATAAATCTGTTGTTTCATTTCAATACACTACATCTTGGTAGTAGTCATCAATGTAGGTGTTGAACAGAACTCTTAAGTTGACTATTTAGTCAGTCAAAATTTGAACTATTAAATCATATTAGAGTTTACGACATCCTCAAATTTCATTATTATTAATCTACGAATAGCACAGGACTAGTAAGTTAACCGTTACTATTCTTGCTAGGTTTTAGTGGATATAAATGACACTTGTTTCTAAAGATGAACAAGCAAATATCCGGTACTTGTTGTTTCTCCCAACAAATTTTTTTTGGTTTTATTAACTTAACATGTAAACGAACTACTTGTATGGGTGTCGTAACATACATTGTTAAACTGAAATCTATAATTAAATAATCATAGATGGATTTATTTTTGGTATAGGCAAGTAAACTATTATTCTTGAATAACCCAAAGGAAACACTGAATAGATCAAACTCTGTATAAATCATTAATTCATTTACCTCAAAAAAAACCTTTTTTTAAAAAAATTTTTCGCACTGTCATTGCATCGAAGGGAAAAGTGTAGAAACAATCAATTAGATATTTCCAGTCACTCTCCCATATATATATATATTCTACTTTTCTGACAGTGTCTGTACATAATTCATTTTCAGTGACAACTCCCTGTGTAGATTATCTGTATATTTGAACATAAGCACTCACATTTGACATTTGTTTTATTGCTTAACTATTCTATAACGTTTAGGAGAAAATATTTTGCTTAGTTAGCTATGCGTTAATCTACGAACTTCATGTTATTGACAAAATTATACAACTTAATGATAAATGTACTAGCTAATACAAGTTATAGATATAATTTTATTGTGATACGAATAATAAACCAATCTACTTAGGCTGTTCCTTGATCTCAAATGATCGTCTTTCTAGTAGTAAATTAAATGTTAGCTATTTTTATTTCATTCATGTAGAAAATAATAATGTCTTCATAAATGACAAAAATCCGTGCTTGAATATTTAATTCCCATGGACTGCAGTGATATCTTCATATTTATACAGACTAGCCAACGAACTGTAACCGGGATACTGCTTTTTTTCCAATAACTGATAAAACGTTTTTCACTCAGGTAGTACAACCATACGATAGATAGTACAATATCTTTTTTCATCTCGAGGGTTCACAGCCGCCCAGTTAATTTCTGTAGTTGATCGATAGACTTCAACTACCACGTACAAACGAAGTGCTTAATTTCTCTTCCCACTAAAGAAGCTTGAGCTACCTTCAGATAATAAGTACGAAACATATGTTCATCACTTTTTTATAGCTAACAGCCTATGTTTAACAATATTCTTTTCACGTATATATTGACACTTATTTGATTATTTTCCGATTTCTTTATGCATATGTAGGAAAAAGCACAAATATATTTACCTACGATATCTTTATACCTCGAACATTCGTATAATTCAGTGTGGTTAACGACGGTTCATTCAGTCAATATTAACTGACCTTCTAATATTTCATCCTAATGTATATCAGATCTCTGTTCAACTTAAATTAAATTCCAGTTACTTCTGGTTTAAAATGTACTTATCCTATATACAATTTGTCTAATGATTGTTGAACCCCAGTCGATTAAATTTTGTATTTTTCAAACGTCTTTCTGATAATTATACATCTAAAACCATTCAAGTGTAAAATATGAGTCACGAGGATTCTGTGCAATTAACATCTCTAGGTTAAGCAATATTGCATGCGAACATTACTGAATGAGTTTAGCATCTAGATAGTTATTGTAAATCAGGTTGCACTAGACGACCTTATTGTCCCGATTTAGACGGCTTAGCAGATTGCACACCTACCACGTTATCTAGGTAAAGTTGATCCATGATTTATACTGTTTAATGTTTACATTTATCGACTTTTATCATAATTTTTAGCTCAAGAATAACGTAAGTTATATAACCATAATATCTACACAGAAAACAAACAATTAGTTTAGTTACTCAGAATCAAACTATCTTTTATTCCTTTGGTTAATTAACCGATTAGTTCTGTTCACCTGTGACTCACTAGTGAACTTTATTAAGTATTTCCTTTAAATAATTCTGTAAATATTTAAAGCCTGCTAAATGTAGTTCAGTATAAGCTTATTTGGTCTTTTTTATGGACTGGTTTTTCTCTTGTTGTTTATAGTACCGTTATTCACCCATACGTTCTTACAAAATGTACAAACATTGATAATATCTCTTAATTTATACAACTGATAATTTAGGAAATATGTATCTCTTATGAGACTAATTATTATTTGCAAATTGTTGGAATTTTATGCCCATTATTATGAGATGTCTATTTATATATAAATTGACAATAACACTCATTTATACGAAAAAAAAGACGCAATTCGTTCATTAATTGTTATGTCTCTTATTATAATAAAAAAGCACATAAAGACGCCTCTCTGTCATCTGTTTTTGTAAATCGTAATGTTCACTACATAATGTAAATCAAATTACATTCAGAAAATTACTGTAATAGTAGTTATTATTACTAGTATTGTTATTTTCCAAGGCTCCTACATAATGTTTGTTTCTGATTTCCTGACCTCTTTCATCAATAAAATCCCTGTTACTGTGAGCTTACCATCTAAGTCCGTGCCAAACATCATCCTTGTGTTGTATATGACAACTTATTCACTTATGATACCAAGCATGTATTCATTGAATCTATGTAAGTTGGCCTCCTGATTTCGTTAATGGTAGTCATGTATACGAGCCCAACCTGTTACTTAAGTTTGAAGACAAGAAATAGGTATGAATCAAAATATACACCATCCCATATATATATTAAAATAGATTACTAACCAGTTGAGTATATAGGTAAACTTTACTTTATAATTATTCGAACTAAAACACATTAAACTATTGAAATGGTATAAAAAGTGTTCTTTATTATTCATGCTATTTAGTTGCGAAATGCTGATAACCATGAATCAAATCAAGCACCGCCTCTATGAAGTGTAGATCTATCGATTTCTGTTCCGAATTTCTTTTTAATTATATTTCGCTGAGAAATCTAGTTTAGCATGCTGTATAACCAGTCTTTGTAGTTGTCCGTTTTGTCGTTTGTTTCGGCCGTATTGACTAATTTCTTTAAGCTCCATAGTTGTTCCGTTTCAGTCTTTTAACAAAAACAATTTGCAATATTTTTGTTCCTTTTCGTTATTATACATTTGATAAACTATTGTTAATAACCAACGAATATTTATATTGTTGTTATCCTTCTTTTTACCAAAAAACCTGTATATTATTTTTTACTGCACAGCTTGGCGAATGAAATCACTGGAAATTGATCCCTCCCTTCAAGCACACACACACATTATTGTTCAATAAGTGTTTTTTATACAGATGTGTAAACTATCCACACTTAATCATACTAAATACTGTTTTCCTCTTGTCCTCTATTTCCTTTTTCTCGGTTAGATGATCTTGTTGATTGTTTAGATCCCGATTGTTGTACATCGACACATTGTGACCGACTCATTAAACTTGGTCCAAATGCTGGTGGTCTAGCTGCTGATAACGCTCAACAAAGTTGTGCACATAGTGAATCATTTGATTATTACTTATTAATTACACCGATTGCACCCTTGGACAGTGCATTTTATGGCCAATTAGAATTCCTTCTAAGACGTGAACGTATTGTTGTAGAGAACTTTGATCCCAGGTTAGAACAATTTCTGTTAATATGTTGGGTTTTTTTAATAGAAAAAGTTACTTCTCAACTTGTACCTTTAGATTTCCGTCACCTTCCACTGCTGTTGTTATTTTACTTAAATTCGATCTTATTTTCGTTTTAAAATTCTTTGGTTATTTATTTTCGTATTCTTATTTATTTATTTGTTGATTTATTTATCTATTCTGTTACTGATGTTAATATTTATTTCTTCTCTTGGCGTTTAATTCAATAAGTTTTGATGGCCATAAAAATTTTGAAGACTTTTTCCAAGCAAATAAATTATTTTTATTAATGGACCTTCAATTTGATTATTTTACTCAAAGTTTATGTATTATGTTTCGGCTTCAAGAATTTAATTCACCCAACAGTGTAGATGTTCATTGACCCAACTATTCAGATCATTTCAGAACGACGAAATGAATATAACAAGAGCTGCGAAAAAAGATCTCAATAATTTAGTGACAGTAACACTAAGAAAAACCGAACATTGATAAAATGATCCCAAATGACATGATGGAAAGGAATAAATAAAGGAATTCGGGTATTAAATCGGGAAGTAGATAGAGTGAACGCATCTGTTTTATTGTGAGGGATTCCGATCTATGTTGTACGAAATCTTTAACTACTGATTGTGTTTACTGCACAGACCCTAACCAAGTAGTCTGGATTTACTAACATGGATTGGGCCAACAGTCAGTAACTTCATAGACTGATGCCACGTTTTTAGTTTGATCGCCCCTAGATTTCCACCAACTTATTTCTACAGCAGACAAAATCACCTAGCTAGGCGGTAGTTAGGCATATATAACTCATGTTCCAACCACCTCATTCATGTTTCACAGCTTTTCAGAATCGATATCTTTATTCAGTGAATTAAGCTCGATGATTATCATTGAACTATTCATGATGAATGTCTTCTCCGCTGTCCTATTCTGTTCACCAGCTTAGTGATTTTCCATTTTTCCTAATTAATGTATACAAACTATTACCGAAAATTGCAATATTTGTAACTGTACTACGGTATACAACATCAGAAAGAGACTTCAAAATAAAATGACCCAAGTACGTTACGTGCAATGCATATATCACTTTGAAGTCTTCGGAAACAAACAGTTATACTGGCCAGTAAAAATTTTTTCTAGTTAAATCAGTAGAAGAAACTAGGGTAGTTCATACTCAAACATCGAAGACTGAACGAGTAGAAACTCATCAAGTAGAAAAATCTCTAGAAATTAGTCAAGTATGAAGATAATGATTAGAGGAAAATAAGTTCAGTCTAATGTTTCATTAGTATGGTGCTTTAGATATTACTGTCTTTCCTTCACACTTCTTGTTAATTTCTTTTATCTACGGTTTTGAATGTTCCAAATCTTTCTAATAACCAAAGCTTTCCGCTAAAACATTTTGTTTTTGTTGACTAGTCTTAGGCTTTCTGTCGACTGGTTTTTGCATATTATAGACAAGCATTTATTCCATATTTTTATTTTATGTACCACAGTTCGTCGGATGTAAAATCGTCCATTAACGCAGTGACTTTTTTAAATGTCCAATTACTTAATATATACATCATAATCTTAGTAGACACTTACAATGTTCTCTTAAAAAAAACCTGTACACTCAACTAGTATTTTTTGTATTGCGAACCTCTGAATGCATTTAGTGATGGTGAAATGTACGCAGCGTAATTTTTTTAAAAACAAAATCCTACGGTGTTTTCTGCTTATTTCATGACTACGGTGCGTTTTTTCGAAAAGGCATCTCATCTACAGAAAGTGATAAAGCCATTTTGTCAACATTTTTTTTAGTTCATATTGTAAGCATTAAAGAGCTGGAATACTCCTAAATATTGATTTTCCTGGATCTCAAGGTCATCCGCGAGCATATCATAGACCTTGAATTTTGTTTAAATAACCCCTTTTATTCAAAACATGTATTTCCATTACTATCATCTTGATTTTATTTGAATTATTTTATAGTAAGCATCAAGAATCGAGGTGTCAATACCATCAAGATTCGATTTCATGGCGTAATTTCCAAGCTTAATATTAGGTCTACAAGTTGGGACAAACAACATTCAGAGATTAACTGTAATTATTATATTTCGATGCCAATAAAAGCCTACATATTTTGTCACCAGTTATTTAATATATAACTAAAAAGTCTATCACCTCGCTCATCAGTTTCATTAAAATAAACAAAAACGCAATTAATCATTTAAGATTTTTATAAAAGAAAACATTGGATTACTAACTTACTGGGATGATTTTTTCATACACTTCATAACTTACTTTTGTAATTTCAGTATGCTATTAGCTTCTACAAATCCATGTATTATTTGACAGCATTACTGTTATTTTATTTTAATTACTTTAAATCGTGTTGTGCATTCACATTGTTCAGACGTATTTCCGTTGTTCGTGGTGTGGTTCGTCAGTGGGATGGAACTGTATTTTGGGGTTGTCGTGTATCCGATCGAGCTAATATGCAAAATGGATACACACTAACTGATAAGAATGGAAGGTCAGTTAATTTTCCAAATTCGAATTACTAATTTAATATAAGTTCATATAATCAGCTTTAAAATACGGTTTTACCTCTGAGCCCTAGTAGTCATAACAATGTTCAAACTTGTTATCCAGTAGGTGAAAGTCGAGTGGTTGATGCACTATTGAGTAATTTGTATCAAATAATTCATTTGCTTACCTTGACTTTTGTATGTGAATAAAGAATCGATATAGAAAAGTGGTAGGCAAAGAGTATATTCTCTACTTCTCTGTTATTAATGAACATATAATTTTAATGGGAACCATCGCAGAAATGTTCATTTGTTTCCACTGACAGAACTCTTTTGTGTATATACGTATCAATCGAACAGTGTCAAAGCTGGAATTTTAATGTATTATACTTAATGTTTAATCAATGTCATCCATTAAGTGTGTAAATTGTCATAACGTTTAAAGAAGTTGGTTACAAGTTTTGGTTTACCTACAGTTTCATTACGAGGTTGTATCCCTCGTCTTTCTATGTGAAAACAAAGGGTTAGTGGTGTTTTAACCCACTACTATACAGTAGCAAGTGTTTTCAGTGAACAAATGTTTATTTAACCACGACAAAACACCAAACATTGTTGTTACTTTGTCATTCAAGTCTTTGGTCAACTAGAAAAGTCCCCCTCCGAACGGTTCTTGGAAATAATTATGGATCGTAGTTCTGATTACTCAAAGTCGACCATAGGATTAAAGTTACAATCGCTTTCAATCTTCCTTACTATTGTTAATTCCTTTACCGTTCATATGCTTCTTGTTTATTGTGTATGTGTCTTGACATTTCCGTTAATGTGCTCTTGCTGTTCTTTCAAAAAATGTAGCATCCTAGATCGAAACTAGTTTGAGTGAGGTCCTAACCCTAGTTTTTTCTTTTTACCGTGTCCCGTCTTCAAAGTATCATATTATGCAGCTCATTAATCTTTTTGTGTTCCTTTTTTGAAATATTTATTGCAGATTTGACTTACCAGTTGATGGGGGAACAATTGTTCAGTTAGAATTCTTACGGTATCCGACTGATCGATTTTCAGCCATACATAATTTATATGTCCCTGTTAATCAAATTGTCAATATGGGTGATTTTTATATGTATGATGCTAAACAATTATCACATAATGACCTACCCACAACAATAACAACGAAAACTAATACAAATAATATTATATCAGGGGATTTTGGGGGTACACTTGGTCCATCACCAATACACGGGGATTTATGGATTATGAACAGTTTTATGCCCAAGTTCTCAGATAAAGATATAGTCGTAGAAAATTTATGTATTAGTGGAAATATACATGACATAGTTACACTTGGTGGTCCTTATATCCAAAGCAATTCATTAATGGATATTTCTACTATTTGCCTAGATGAGCAAAATGTCATATGCGTCAGAAATGGAGCATTGATGTATAATATTCCGATAAAGGTTTGTTAATTTTTTCATGTATATTTTGTAATCATTTGATCGGTAATTTCAGTTTGGAAGATGAAAAGAACCGAATATTTTTATTAATCTTTATAAAGAGATTCGTGTAAGGTATACACCGGATATGCCACCATCCGCCAGCTAGTAAATCCACACAGTGATAGCATTCTATTTAGGTATACAATAATTGAATTTCACCTCAATTCGGATATTTCGCTTTCAATAAATAAACTTACTATTTTTACAGTTTTGTTGTTTATATAGTTGCTAAGGCATTTTTAAAGGTCATCAGTGTGAAATTTTTAAGTCACTTCCGGTGATTGTTTTAACAGAAAAAGCGAATAATTAGATAAAAGGGTAAGTATATTAAACAAATATTCTGATCTGAAATTAGAACTTAGGGCTATTTAATTTTTCGGACGCTTGGAGTATTATAAACTAGAAAACCACTATTAATACAAATTCATTAAATGTGAATGACCAGCATTTACTCCAGTCAACCAAATTCTCATTTTAATTGTATATCTGTAATCATATAGGATACACAACTGCGGCTTATATACCGTTCCGATCGCACTTCCGGTTACAAACCTGGCATATCTATTCATTTATTAGCATCGAATCGCGCTCCACCTTTGAATTTGAAAGAAATTCACCTAGTAATTGATATTGCTGGTCAACGCCACGTGAAGCTTTTAGAACCTGAACCTGGCTTACTAAACACTTTCTACTGGAATAAAACGGATGGTTACAATCGCTCTGTTTATGGTTTAGCTGAAGCTAAAGGTAAGTATCTGTTTATATTTTTATTTGAAGCTATTTTTTCATTGACAAATCCACGATATATCGTAAAGATTCGATTGCTTCTAGTGTTCTGATACAATGTTTAAAACCGTCTCAAGCATATATCTTAACGTATGAACTACTTTATTTAAATAAAGATTTTTAAAAACTACACTTGTGTATTATTGCTGAATGTGTTCTATTATCTCTCTTCTTACATTTCTATGACCTGATTGCATTCACCTTTCCAGTTTATATGATTCAAATCATTAAAGAAATCTCTTTCCATCGCTTAATATCATATGTTAGTGGACCGTAATCGGGATGGCTACTTTGTATGGCTTCGCAAGAATTTATTTGTAGACTTTATTGAAGAAGTACTTTATGCTAAATAAAACGTTAATTACAACTCGAAAAAAAGGGATTTCCCACCGTAACTGATGTTCACATAACCAACATCAGTTTACCTAAAAATTCCCCTCATTGAGGTAAAGGACCACTGTCTAACTAAGAACTATGAACTTATTGGTTTTGATAAAAATTGATAAATGCACAACAGAATGAAATAAACCTGCACAAGATCATGCAATTTTAAACGATCTACTTGCTTTATTGACATTTATCAAACAAGAAACTAATCAGGCAACAATTTGTTGTATAATATGACAACTAAGCCAGAGAACTGATGAAAATTTTCTAGTAACACATATTTTCACCTAGAAACCGACACAAATTAGGGTTATATTTGTTCACTGATTGGTACTGTTGTAAGGATTCTTTAAACTGCTTAAACAAAAAATAGTAACCTACTGCCCTCCACAGACTAACTGTGAGGCTATATGGTGTTTAAAAATTAATGTATTCTGTTATTAACTTTCATTCTAAAAGAAAGCTTTTGGTTAAAATGCTAATAATTAGACCATGTGTGGCTTTTTATATTATCGAATAAGTTATTATTGTTCTGAGTAATCGTAAGTATCTTCTATGATCAAAATGTTCTAAACTCGAATATCACAATTCTATCACTACTACTTACCATCAACTTCGTAACTATTTCATTTATTATCAACAAGTTTAAATACAACCTTTTCGGAAATACTCACACATAGAAAAATAATCGTTGTAATGGAATAGGAAATATCCCATTTAATTAATGATTAAAAATGAAATCAGTGAGATTGTAACATAATTATGGAAATTGATATTTGAAAAGTAGCAATAAAGAACTTGTTTTAATTTCGTAAAATTCCTTTCAGCGAATTAATCTTTCTTATTTTGTAATAATAGTCATCTCGATTAATCATCCTTTTTTGGCGCCTTGTAACAAATGTGAAGAAGTTCAGCTGTCAATTGATAAATTCAATATCATCCATTTAGATTAAATAAGCTTTAGTCTACATTTTTTGAATACAGAATTGAAATTTCTCAATTTTAAAACAACATTGTTTGGTTCACTTAAAATGAATTTTCTTTAAGATTAGCCTAGTGATTTTTCCACATCACAGAAGATTTTGTTCGTAAATTATAACAATGAATATTTCATACACACAAACATATTTTTGTTATGATGACATCACGACACTGGACTAAAATTAGTTAAACCAATGAATTTGTTCAATAGATTGTAAATTGTTCACCTTAATGTTGATTGTTTACAATTACTTTTCTAATTTTGATGAATAAGTTCTTTTACAACACTTAAAGTTTTATTGGAACTCTAACATTGAACAACAAATAATTCTGTTTATATAAAAATCAGTTCCTGTTTAGTGTGAATATAACGAAAAGATGAAACTACCAATGTTTCTGATCAGATGATAATACCCATCAGAATCGGTCCATCAAAAAGTGTTAACTGGGCATTAAACTGAATAATACGCAGATTGGTGACGGAGCAGTAATCAATTTTATGCTATCCAATATTCAATACTGATCGAATTTCTTCATTTTGACATCCAACCAATGAAAATATATCCTTTAACACATTACAAATTAATTCACAGAATTTTATCAACACTAAAGTCTAGATAAATACGACATTACTTATTATTTAGTAATTAACCGGTGTGAAAGATCTCAGTCCAATAAAAAGTCAGTCTCAGCCTGGATAGCTCAGGGTAAATGCAGCCGATTGTGATAGCAGATGACATGAGTTCAAATCCCATGGCGAGTGTCCATTTCCTCAGTTTTACAGACACCCTGTACCATTGAATGCCTAATAGCAAGAATTCTATGTGCGAAGCCTTTTGCCAGTAGCCACCTAGTATTTAAAGTGAATAATATTTGCAATACCAACGTCTTTTTGATCTATCATTTCAAGCAAACAATTCTTAATATAAATTTTACGTTTGAAAATTATTAAGCTCAGTCATTCTTTTATTTCTGTTGGTATCAATAACTTTACGTTTAACTGTATGTTTACCTAATCTTGCGAAATTTATGTTACGACTAAATCCCTTTTAATCTTTTTTCTTAGTATCTGTTGGTTATGCATACACGAACTGTCCACGTATTTTCTGGGAATATCGAGTTGTCCAACTACCCGGAAGCGAACTAATCAGTTCAGATTTAGCTAATTGGAATTTAAATATTTTACATACGTATGCGGTTAGCCATGGGATTATTTATCGGTAAGTTCCACTATACGAGCATTTATATTATGCAGTGGTGATATGGTTAGTAAAATATCTGAATAACTTCTGATAATTTCAAATTAATTAGGCATTGGGTGGATTGTTTATGATAATAAAGCTTCTATTGATCTAATTCCGTTAATTATTTATTCTCTGAAGAAGCGGCTTACATTAGGTTCTCGAATATTAGAAATTCAACTTTCTACATTCTGGGATATAGAAATTTTTCATCACACTGAATACGAAGCTGAATTTGACCAATCGATTAGTGTGTGTGAAGCCAATCAAACTCCAGATTGTAGCTGTTCGAATGTCAAAGATCAAAGCTGATAAGCAACCGATTGAATTATCGCTAAGAAAATGAAGCCTCTTACTCCATCGTGTTAAGAATTACTGTACTGGTGAAAAGCACATTGATTTCGTCATGAATTTCTATGAAATCATCTCTAGCCTCTCCAAAGGAGATACATGTAGAAAAGTACACCAAGCATCGTGAGGTTCCCGCTTGTATTTAGCTTCGCAAAATAGAGCTTTAGTACAGTAGGCGCTGAACATACATGATTAATTAATTAAAATAAATAAAAAACCGAAACATTTCCTGGGATATTTGCAAGGTTGAAAAAATAGATGTTTCATCGGGACATCAAAGATTTGGCTACTGGGTACATGGTATATATATATATATATATATATATATATATATATATATATGGCTTAATTATTATTTCGTTTAATTTTGTTAAGCGGTGATGGTTCACATTTCTACTTGAAACAAACAGACTGGCATATTAGTGCAGTCATTGGACTAACTGAACAACGTCGACCGCCAAACGACTGTAGTCAATGTTCAATTAATGATAAACCAACTCGACAATTATCTCTACGTAACCCATACTGTTTACTAACTGATTCAGTTGGCAATCTTCTAATTGGAGATGGGGGATTTTTACGTTGGTTAAATTCAACTAAATCAGCCGAGGAGTACAAGTAGGTTAATTTGTAATATTCACTTTTTATTTTTTTTTTATATATTTGTTTTGGATACATTAAAATTGTGTAACGAAATAGATTAATAAAATGAATGTTATTCTCTGTGTTGTGTTCAATCTGGTACTAATCTATAAGCAATTACATTAAACTTAAATCGTTTACTCTAGAAACTTTGTTTCCGCCATAAATACTTTCTGGAAGTTACATATTACTTAAAATACTGTTTTGTCCTTGTTTGATAAACTATTATTTCATGTCATCCATCTTTATTATCCCTGAAACTATACTTAGACTTTGTAGAACTATAATCATCACTATGTATACATAGCTTCTTCAATGACCAGGAAAGACCAAGAATTTCAATTTTCATTAGATTATGAAGTTTTTTCAATTAAAAAAAACTGTCTGATTTTGTTTTCGTGTAATTATAACTATCGAGTTAGGTCTGCAGACTGCGAAATTGACATTTTCACTGAGTTTCCTAAATTCATTTGTTCATTACATCCCAAAGATGAGAAATCAACTATAATTTGTACTGCCCAACTTTATATTGAATAAATATTCTTTTCTTAATTCAAACGTCATAAAATTCTTTCTCTATACTTATCTTTCAGGTCTTCATCAGTGTTATCGTCTTCCTCACTATCTTTTAGAGCGCCACTGATAAGATCAGATTCACTAAACAGTCCATTTCAAGAACAATTGAAACGTAATGATCGTAGAAGATGGGAAACAATAATTGATTACAAGCTTGACTTTCTTCAATCTAATTTTGATGAAGATCAGTTAACAAACTATTTTATAACTGTTCATCCAAATTATATATATCGTACAAACGATTACACTATGGTAACATTATTAGGGAACAGTGGAAATGTTGGTGGAGCAGACCTTTCAAATGGATTATTCCTGTCACACACGAGTAGTAAAAGCATATGGTGGCTAAAAACTACACCAGATTTATCAGCACACTTACTTATTGGAGGAAATTGTCAATCGCCAAGCTCTAAATCTAACATTAATTCTGAATCATCGTCCTCAACTGCATTCAACTACCAAGAGTTCTGTATTAAACAGAATTTGAAATCCCCTAAAGGAATTGCCGCTACACAAACGGTGTGTGCTTGTTTCTTTTTGTTGTACATAAACTATCTTACAGCTCCATTTTGCTGCACTCAATAGTTTTTGTTGGGTGATTTGCAGAAATATAAATTTAGTGTTGAGCGAAAAAAAGAAATCTAATGGGAACTCTTTGATTTATTACTTTATGTAAGATTTATGTTTTCATTTCTGCTACCACATATAGATCCTTACCACGTCGTTTAAATGAGAAACTGTATCTGCGAACTATTTAGATGTAATTTGAATGCACGAAACATACACTTCCTAAATATTACCTCCAATAATACTCATGTATAAAGCACATATATAAAGCATCCAACTGTAATTTAACTTAGTGGTCTAATCAATTTTTTGGTTGGTAGATAGTGGTTGTTGATCTCCCTGGTGTAAATAAGATATCTAGCTTCATTACCTATTCATTCATATCTGTTTACTCTGTGATAATACGGACCCTCTTCTATGATTACTCGTCTTACCTGCAATCGATTTCATGAAATCTGCCTCTTGAATCCAGAACACTATTGATTCACTTCATTTCGAAGGGTCAATTGATATAAATGAAATGTGCATGAAATTGTTTTTTGTGTCAGTTGAATTTTTATTCAAACATATATTAAACAATTTCGATTTTCTTTTTATTATTTAAAGAAAACTAATTTTATTATTAATTCTAGACATTATTGTTCAGTACAATTTTATCTGCGAACACCTTAGTTACTAAACCAATCAACAATGTTATTATCTCTTACAGAATGTGTTATCCAATCATATTAGCGACTCAATCAATCCATTGCTTCATAGATAGTATCTTAGATAGACCAAATTTACAGAACAAGTTATTAATACTAGCACAGTGTAGTATGAAGTATAATTTCGGTTCAAATGTTTCCGTAAATTGTATACTACTGGCAAGTAGGTAAAACGTAATTAAAACAATAAATAAGAAAACTGTATTTCACTCTATAGATTTCACAATACTTGATAACTGAACAAATTACTTGCTTTATTTCAAGTCATGCATTAATTGATTATATACATATACGTTCTATTAAACAAATTGGGATAGAGATACTCGGTTTTGTATCAATTGTTCGTGAACTAAATAAATAAATATGTTTCAAATTTATTTGTAGACTGTTTATTAACAGCATTTATCAAAAAGTCGTATAATATGGTACATTTTATCTCATTTACTTGTATAATATTGTTTTTTTTTATAACGGTTTGTTTGTTTTAAGTTTGTTTATACTTTTCGTTCCCAATATAAATATATAGGAATTGTATTTTATTGATTCTCAATCTATTTGGTCATTGTCGTTACGGCAAACTGGTTCTAGTACGATCCCATTTTCCCGACTTGTAATTGGAAGTGATCCAAATTATTCATCAAATCCAAAGTCACTTAACACAACTACCTCAGGGACCAGTATTCCAAAAACAACTCCATCTTCATCGACACCACCTTGTGACCGATCTGTCCCGGGAAATCAGATGTTGTTAAATAATCCTGAACACTTGGCATTTAACACCTTAGAGCAAACATTATACTTCTCTGATAACGACCATGTAAGTTTTTATAATTATGAAAAAACCATTTTGCTTGAAATACTGACTTCGTTAAACAACTCATTAATAATATTTTTCCCCTAAAACCATCTGTTAGATGCTAAATGACCGTATAATACCTGTTAAATAATTATTTAGTCGAGGCTGTGAGCTGTCTAACAAATATAGTATGAATGTAGTATCAGTCAGCAACTTTCAACTAAGTTTAAAGTAAACACTATCTCCCTCTGTATTCCAGAATAAATTAATTCTTACAAAACTCACAAATCTGTACAGTTTCTACAGATTTGTTAAAAGTTATTGGGAATTACACTAATCGAATGGCTGATAAAGTTTCAGATATAATCATAAACCTTTCCCCTCATAGGTCACATTCTGTAGTAATATGTACACTCGGAATGATCTTAACCGTTCATGAATAATGATCAAACTTGTCTCATTGACTTAAAGTGAAAGTGCACTAATACCTGCCTGTTGCTCTGTGTAATCAGAAAAAACTTTATCGTAATAAATATGTAGAGCGCTTCTTAGCATTGCTAATTACCAAAAGTTTATCTCTAAATGAGACCACTATTAACTTCGGACAGAATTATTACTAAAACTTAACGTCATGTTGATTGTCTTCAAATGATTAACGAACCTCGTGTTTATCAGGAAATCTGTTCGATTAATTTTGATAGATTATGAACTCACCATGTCTTCAATATCATCTTTAATAGTTTATATCAAATTTATCTAGATTTTCACTGTAATTTAAGTGTTTTAGAAGACTTTAATTGCAGTTTATGAGATAAGGTTGGGACCGTTTTAAAATCCATTACCTAAGAATCTGTCATATTTGAATAACTTATGATCAATCTGAGATTCAATTCTTTGCTGCACTCTGCACACTCAGTTAGGTACCCTTATGGTCTGACTATAAGTGATCAGTGATATGAAAAAAGTGTAAGCCTTCAACCGAATCTTTGCAAAACACTTAACAAGAAATACTGGCGAACTTTTTGGTTTGGGTTAAGCTCAACCGAATGAGTTCATACATATACCATTGAATGAAATCCTATTTGTTAAAAATGAAGTATTGCTATTTGGTCATACTATATGGAAGACAGTTATGCATCTTTTTATCTGTATGTGTAATCAAAGGTAAATGGAGTATATTCAAGCTTATTCTTTTTTGAAATGTCGTTAGTAAGAAATATATTTACTTTGTTGAATTCCACATAACTAATGCTAAATCAAACACTATTAGCAAGTAGGCAAAGCGTAATTAGAACATTGAATAAGAAAATCGTAACATGTTAAAATCGAAAATATCAAATGTACATTATAATATAACTAAAAACGATAACTCTTTTTAGCGTTTGCTACTAATAGTCTTATTTCGCTTGCACTGCCATCTAAAAACACAAAAATCTCGTTTGTTATTTTAACCAATAATTTGAGATGTCTTATTAAGTCACCAAGTCGATATATACTAAAGTGACAGGTGTGTTAGTTGCAAATGATCTAACATTCACAGAAAATGGTTACGAATTTTTCGCTTAGATCCTATGGCAACCATTAGAATATATCAACAAATTGATAACATAACATTTAAAAAAAATTTGTCGTAATAATAGTGAATATGTAATTGTTTTTTAGGTTTATCGTTACCATTTAGTCAATCAAATGGTATCGTTAGCAGCTGGACGCCTTAAAGGCTGTCCTATTAAAACAGATGATTGGAGTTTTGCTCCACTGGCAACACAAGTTGAATTAGGTGATATTCGTGGTCTCAGTGTATCACCTCAAGGTGATTTGTTTATCGCGGGACCTCAGCATATATGGATCCGTCGGTCGAATGATAATCGCTTGTATCCTATTACTGGAATTCATCCTAGTCAACCTAGACAGTTCAAGGGAGATGTGAATAATTCAAAGAAACGTCATTCTAGCACTGATGAAAGTGTTATAGATTTAGGATTAGTCAATGAATTTTCATTTAACAGTATTAGCAGTATAACTGTCAGTTTATTTGGTGAACTATTTGTAGCCGATAATTCACATAACAGAGTAAGTTTAAAATATCAACAATACTTATGCGGCTCTATTCTTATTTTGTTAATTTCCATAGAATTTTATTTTCCTTAATGATATCAACATCGAAGTTGCTTGAATAGCTAAACACAATGCCATCTTTACTCGTGTCAAAACATTTTTTGTGTTAGAGCAAGCTGTTCTACTGATACACGAAAAATGAATAGTTACCTTTGCCAACAGCCTGTTTGGTTGTGTGATTTCACGAGAGGCAATAGATTGTTTTCTGCTGTACAGTTAAATCTTTTCTAATGTGAGCCATACACTGTACAGATTGTGATTTTATTGCAGTGTTTGAATTTCACTCTGTGGTGATTTTGCATGATGCACGTTGTGCTACTACTGAATAAACCCTAAAAACACATAAGTTAGACATTCTAGTCTGTTTCATTTCAGCTGAATTTACTGTTCTCTTTTATTGGATATCCATGATTAAGCATACTTTTGTTGTTAAATAAGTAATCTGTCTATTCTACCGCATCTGGTCACTGTGTCGAGCGTATTTGTCTATCTTCATTGTACCACTTTCATAGGCTTTACAAATTCGTGTCAAGCGTCTTCTCGAAGGTCATTCTACCCTAGATAACAATAACAAATGGCTATCTCGCATTATACTGCTCTGGCACACTGTGTCCAGACCACTCAATTTGTTTGATAGATTAAGCTACTTTGTTTTTTCTATTTTTGTGGCCTATCTACGGACTAGAAGTCTTCCTCTTTTGTGTTTAATGGGCGTAAATTATAATAAAAGTCAACCAATTTACTCAACAGTTATTGTTTAATGCGAAATCACTTCCATCACTAGTAGGAGCATCAAGAAACAAATTATAGTTGGGAATAAACAGTTGTTATAGATATTTGCTAGCAGTTGAGTCGTCTGACCTGAATGAAATCATTAAATGCTCTATCGTATCTAAAAACGAAAGGATTTTAAGTAACGTTTTTGCCACTTAAGTCTTCATAATTTCTATGAAAATTTTCACTAAAATTTGACACTACGATTAGAACGGACAGAGATGGTTTTCAAACTTTGTGTTCACCAACTGATCCTAGTTTGACCATCACTGAAAATCTGGAATTGCTGAACAGTCGTTTCGTCCTAGTGTAAGACTCCTCTAAACTTGGACTAGCTTTTAGATATAATTCCTGGAGTTTTGGTGAAAAATCGTGAGCGACGGAGTTCAACCATGTTGAATATGAGACAGTTATCCAATCCTGGCACTGTGATAGTTGAGCAATATTGTGATTTGATTGAAATTGGACATTAATACCGTTGAATCTTGGCTGAATGGTCTAGAGTTTAGATGTTTATACACGAGACCTAAGTCCTTGGGTACGATTCCCGGTTGCGGGGTCGTAAATACGCATTATTGGGCAGTCCCGTACTAGAGCGAAACGGCCATCCCCTGGTTCCAGGTTTTCAGTAGTGGTCAAACTAAAGTCATTTCGTGATATAGTCTTTGACGATTCTTTGGCCTCCACAAAACTACACTGATAAAAACGACTTTAAAACTTATACTTGGTTATACGACCAATGAAAGTGAATTATGTGAAAGGCCAATTAAATGCAAGTGATAGTTGGAAGATGTGTTTGCGGCAATACATTTATTTGTCGTAAATAGAGCACATACGGATTATAATCGATTTTCGTCACTGGTGTTACTGGCTTTCTATCATTTATAGGAAAACAGTCATTACATTCTGTTCTCAACTTAGCTGCATTTCTTAGATTATCCCCAAACAACGAATAATAACTGTAAAGTCAACTTAGTAAATGAAAAAAACAAGGAGTTATAAATACAATCGCCAGTCAGTTTAATGTTCATATACCGAAGTTTAAAGTGCATTTTCGCCTTAATTTCATAAATATGAAAAAAGTAACAAAAATCACCACATGGTGCTCGAATATTGAAGACTATTGTTATACGAGGTTGATAAAACCGTGGATTCAAAAACAGTTTTCGAATCTAGACAAACTAGTTAACCTATTTAAGCTTACTTATTCTTAGGATCCTTTAATTAAATAATCTGAGCTAGTTATGATAATAATCTTCAAAATTCTGAAAATATCTTGCAGGTCCTATTGGTTTAAAGTATGTTAGTGAAATATTGCTTTGACTGACAGTTCTTGGAAAATGATCATTCAAAGAATAGTTTTCACGTACCGATTTTATTTGAGTTATCTTTGAAAATGTAATGTCTTCACCCTTACAAATCAAATATTCATGCAGAATTATTATGATTGAATAATTTTTCATGGCATTAAAGAGTTCTACCCCAGGTGGAGACACATACCTATATGTTTGTCTGATTTAGTATTTATTTGCTCAGCCCATCGATACCTGTATTTCTGAATCCTAAACCACATTTTATTCTACCACATTATTTGATAGATCGATTAATTGAGACCAGTTTCAACATTTGATGCTGAAGATAAATTCTTATTTATAGACAGATACACTAGATTAATAAGGAAATGCTATTCTATTCTGTTTTTGGTAAGCTACTGCTTCAATAGTTCAGTGTTAGCATCTCTAGATGTTACACTGAGTGACACGCATTTGAACCCTATGGCTGGAATCATATTCTTAAAAATTGCAGATTTCTCTTGCTGACAAGTTTTAACAAAGATGAAACGCAAGTCCAGCGCGTCCCATCCATTACCTGCAGTCACCTAGCATTGAAGAGAAGTGTACGAAATTCTGAGTTACTTCGCTTGATGACTTCATTGTAACCTATTTGGATCTCAACCAGAGCCAAGAATTAGACGTAATGACATCGATGTCAATTAATACTAGACTGTTAACTGATTTATGCAAATTTATTGCCAATATAGGGAACTCAGACGACTGTTGCATGTAAAATATCGATATCTGAATGATTTGACCAGTAAAATTCATTTTGCATTGTTTATTTGAATCTTCACATTGATGTTTAGGATTGCGATTGATCAGTCTCTCATCGGCGTGTGTGCACCCTGTGCGGATTGCATCGATATTTCCTTAAGTCACAAGCATTATAAACAAAGATGGATGGTAGCTAGCAGTGGAATTCAGGACGCGCGTTTCGTCTTATTTGGGACTCGTCGGTTGGCTGTATCTGCATTCCAGAGTCGATGTTCACCCTGGGACTCGAACCCATTACCGTTCACTTCAATGGGAAGATTCAAATAAGCAGTGCACAGTGAATTTAAACTTCTCTCCATTGTACAAGCTAGTTGCTATCAAGACTCGGTAGCTAAGTGGATAATGCGATAGCTTTTGAAGCGAACGGTACTGGGTTTGAGTCCTAGATTGAACATCGACTTCGGGATGCAGATGCGTCCATCTGACGAGTCCCGAATAGGATGAAAAGCGCGTCTTGTATTTGACTGCTAGTCATCATCCGTCTTTGCTTAAGACTTAGCCGGTAATTTTAATTTAGTAACTGGGTATCTATCTTAGCTTGGATGTTACGTGAACGAAAGACAGGCATTATAGCACAGGTGTTCATTCCGTTTTCAAGTTTCACCGATATCTAAGCAAACTAAGTTGCCTACTCAATAATGATTAACAAAATTTATCACCATGAGTATGAGTCTTAAATCCCGACTGAAACCCTTTACCGATTAGATTCTGTTATCAATTCGTTTTTGAATTTATTTCAGATACCATGTGTTAAATTTTCTTAAAATACGATTTTCATCTCGATATCCTCACTTTTATTGGTATCAGTTTGTATTTTCTTACAGCAATTCATTTTATGTACTTGTTACTTCACGATTCACTTCACGCTTTATTTATGCAACAGGTATATCGTATACATTATCAATTGCCGGAAAAGTCTGAAACAGGCAACACATATCGTATACTATATTCACAAACAGATGAAATCGATTCATTCGGTTCTTATGGCCAATTGATTTCAACTGAGAGTGCTTCTACTCAAATGATATCACATAGACTGGATTATCGTAATAATGAAATAAGCGGTTGGCTTTCACAAATTCGTGGTGATGATCATAATATTAAATTAAGTATACATCGTGATACACATGGAAATCTTTTACGCCTTCAAACCCCAACAGGTAAAATGTTGTTCTTTTATTTTTACTTGTTGGTTGCATTGCATCATAACAGCATCTGAAACGTACATCTTGAAACTGGGTAAACAATACGAAATTGACAACATTTACTCATTCCGTGCTTTCTTCACGGTCGTAATTCAGTTAACATATTTCGTGGCATAACTGTATGAATTGCCTTTAACAAAACGTAAAAGATATGACAGTATAACACAAAGACAAACTACAACACTAGGTCAGTTAGATCATAATAGTTATAGCCATTATTTTCCGCACAAAATTTCGTTGTATCATATAGTTGTTTCATATTTCTTTCTGTTGTAGCTTTATCCGCTGTCCTTGCTGGGTCTTCCACATATTTCTGCTTGTCAGCTCTATTACTCTTCCTCACTTTCTTGTTTGCTTCTGTGTATCTAGCCAGTGCGTCGACTTCCTCTGTTCTTGTTTGACTGTCGTTAATTGTTGACTTCTTGTTCTTCCTTTCTTGAATCTTGTCCAGGGTTTCCATAGAGATCTGTTCCTTATGATGAAGCTTGTTGTGGCCGAACACCTCCTGACACGTAGAAGTCAGTGTTTCCTTGATCCCTTTCGATTTGTCCTCTATAGTAGTTTCCTCTTCTTTGAGTAGATCTTGTAAGACTTGAAAGCTGTAGTTGAGAGTTATCTTGAGTTCGTTGGGTTTGTCAGTATCTCGAAGAAAGGCTGTATTAAACCTTGGTACTGCTGTTTCCCCAGTTGTTCAGAGCTTCATTAGCCTCAGTTTTATCTTGGCCACAACCAGCTAGTGGTGATCTGAAGCTATGTCAGCTACTTTCCTTGTTCTCATACCATCCACTGAGTTTCCGAATTATTCTGTGTGGTGTGATCCGGTGAGACCCATGTAGCTTTGTGTGTGCGATTGCGTGGGAATATCGTGCAGCATATAACCACTTTTTGAATGCACATAAAGTTGCAAATCTCTCAGCATTTTCGTTCCTCTTCCCTAGTGCATGTTGTCCAATAATATCTTCGTACCCGGTGTTGCCCATCCCGACTTTGGCGTTTAGGTCTCTCATCAGGATGGTCAGGTTTTTTCCTGAGCACTTCGGTATGATCGATTGCAGCCTCCAGTGAAACTTGTCTTTCCAAAAATCTTTCACAGGTGAAGCAATGTTTTACTCTTATTGTAGAATGAAATAACCAAGAAGTAATAGGCAATTATATCTCAAGATTACTTCCTTACGCCTGTTACCCCTCGTACAGTAGCATAGGGTTTCTACCAGCATTCTCGATCCAACTCTTTCCTGGGAAATCCTTTCCAGTTTCTATTCATCTTTATCATGTCTGCTTCCAATTCTCGACGCAATGTGTTCTTCAGCATTCCTCGTTGCCATTTCCCTTCAGGAATCCAAGTTATAGCTTGCCTCGTGATGCAGTTTGATAATTTCTTTAATGTGTTCCCTATCCTCTTTCAGCGTCTTTTCCTAATTTCCTCTTCAGATGGAAGCTGGTTTGCCCTCTACGATAGTAAGTTGTTGTTGATAGTATGCGGCCAACGGACATTAAGTATCTTGCGTAGAAAATTGTTTAGAAATACTTTTACCATTTGATGATGGTTATAGTAGACCTCGAAGTTTCTGGTCCGTACAGTAGAACTGTCTTGACGTTCTCATTGAAGATTATGGCTTTGATCCTAGTTGACAGTTGTTTTGAGTTCCATATGTTCTTCAACTGTAGGAATGCTGTCCTTGTTTTGCCAATACTTGTATTTACATCTGCATCGCATCCTCTCTGTTCATCGATTGTGCTGTTCAGGCACATGAGAGTTTCCACCTCTTCTAGAGCTTCTCCATTAAGTGTGATTGGGTTGGTGTTCTTCATGTTCTTTTTGAGCATCTTGTTTTTTTCCCTGTGTATGTTGAGGCATACTGATGCAGAGGCTGCTGCTACACTGGTTGTCATCGCCTGCATTTGTTGCTGTGTGTGGGATAGAAGAGCTACGCCATTTACCAAGTCCAAATCATCTAATTGCATCTAAACAATCAATTGTATTCTGTGCTTCCCCTCAGATGTAGAAGTCTTCATAATCCAGTCAAACACCAAAAAAAAGAAGTACACCATAGTGTCAAAGAGGTTTTCATAAGTTTCTCTTATCCACATTTCCAGATGCTTTCTTATAGTCGAGGAAGTTGATGTATAATGATGAGTTCTACTCAATAGACTGTTCAACAATGAACCGTATTGTCACGATTCGGTCGGTACACGGCAGATCATTATGAAATCTAGTTTGTCGAGCTTGATGTTGACTGTATGCTGCATCCTTCATTCGGTTCATCAACACTATTGAAAACTTTCCTTGATACTGACAGTAGTGCGATGGCTTTGTGGTCCTCATACCTGCTATGATCTTCCTTTGGTATATTGATGTGACATCCCTATTTTCAGTCTGTCGGCACTTGTCCTTTTTCTTAAATCTTTCTTAAGAGAACGTGGAGCACCTTTCGATTTGCCTTCATATCTGACTTTAATGCTTTAACTAGGATAATGTCTGGTCTTGATGCTTTCTGTCTATAGATTTGTCTGATAGTCATCTTGATTTCTTCGATCATTGGTGGAATGACATCTATGAGGTCTGTAGGTGCTGCTCCAATATGTAAAGGGTTCATTAAGGTTGGTTTACTCAAGAACTCTTCAAAGCGTTCTACCCACCTGTTCCATGGCTTTTGAATTTTATTAATTGGTTTGCTTTATTTGTTCTTGGCTGATCTCTGGGGTCTATCGTATTTTCCTGCTAGTTTTTTGGTTGTCATATAGTTGTCCCATATTTTCTTTTCTTCCAGCTTTTTCTACTGTCGTCGCTAGGTCTTTCATGTATTTCCGTTTATCATCTCTAATGCTCTTCCTCACTTGTCTCTTTGCTCCTGCGTATTCGGTTAGTCCTTTGGTTTTCTCTGCTCTTATTCGGCTGTTGTTGATTACTGTCCTCTTGCCATTCCCCTTATGAATCGTGTTTAAGGTGTTGATGGAGATCTATTCTTCATATTGATGCTTCATGCGGCCCAGGACCTGAAATATCGGAGTTACGGTTGTTTCCGGTTGTTTCCATAGTGGTTTCCTCTTCTTTGAGTCGATCTTGTAAGGTCTGGAACCTGTTGTTGGGTTCTATGTTGAAATTGTTGAGTTTGTCAGTATCTCGAAGAAAAACTGTATCAGACTTTTATATTGTTGTTTGTCGAGGTTTCCAATGCTTCTTTAGCTATAGTTTTAGCTTGGCCACTACCGGTTGGGGGAAAATGGTGCCACTTATAGCCATTTTGTTGAAAAGACACAGATTCGCAAGTCCGTCACCATTTTGGTTCTTTTCTCCAAGTCCACGTCGTCCCATGACATCTTTATACTCGGTGTAATGTGACTGAGTGCTAGGATTTAATTCGTCTTACTCATTAAATGAAATTTTTTTTAATTTCAGGTCATCTGTACAATGTAACACTGGAGCCTGGTTCTGGACAACGCATTAGTACTCTTGTTGATCCAGTTAACGGAGGTCTTTGGAAATTTCTTTATTCATCAGACGGTCTCTTAACTTATTTAAAAAATCCACAGGATTCAAGTTATACACAATTTCACTATGCTCCTGAATCAGGTCGTTTGCTACAAATTACATATCCGAACGCTAAATCTATTGATGTAGCTCGTATTGTCAGGAGTCAAATCCCTGTGAATATGAGATTTCATACTTTGGATGAAGTTTCAAATCAAGATAATACACCTAAAAGTGATTCAACAAATACTCCTGATCAGTTGTCCACAGGTATGCTTACACATTATACTAATGTGTTTAATTATGTGTGGCTACATGCTTCTCAATGCTAAAGTGTTGTTGAGATAACTTTGTTTTCAAGTTATTAACGGTATCTCAAGTAGTTAGCAGTTTATTGTGGGAGGCATAATCAGTGGTCAAGGGACAACTAAGCTACTTCGGACTAAATCTATTACGATGAATGTCTCAGGTATTGAAGTTGTGTCAGCCTAGACCATGGAATAATGAACCATGATAATTGAAGTTATTGTTTATTTTCTTTGTAATGAATAACGTAAGTACTTTAAACAAACCCAGCCGCTTAAGCATTCTGTTTGGACTGATCAACGGCCTAAAATAAGTATTCTTCGAAATGTTCACGGTCATAATATACCATAATTCTTCTGCAGATATTTCATAAATTACATATTTTAACAGAATTTCTATTAAAAAGCATTGCCACTATATTATGTCTCACTCAGTTGTCTAGTTGGCTCATAGGTTCAGAAAGAATGTTCTACTATATTAAGGACCTGCCAACTTTATATAACTACATCTCGAAGAATACTAGTGATCGTACTTCCACCAATAAACAGCTGTCCAGTCCTTCCTGGCTTTGATTTATAGGTTCTCCTAAACATCCAGTAACAAAATATTGTCAAGTTCCAGTCACAGTCACATTGATCACTCTATAATATTTTGTGCTATAACAGATCCAAAAATTTGTATATAAGTTCTCAGATTGATGTGATGAAAACCTGACTCATGTACTCACAGTCAAACGTATGTCTATATAGTGTTCTCAATTTTACGAAATGTCTACTCTTGTACTTGTGTATAGCGTTGATTTCAGGCATTGATAATGACAACGTTTCTTTGAAATTGTAACTCATTAATCCAAGCATTTAATTTTAACCCATTTGTTCGCTTGTATGAAGCTCAGTGACCTACTTATTTTGAAGTAACTAGCCGGTACCGCTATTTTCTCATTATACCTTGCATGCAACGTAGACCAATCTTCACTAAGCTCTAAAGTAGCTGTAAATAATTTAGTGATTAGTCAAAATAATCACGGTTATTTTGTAACGTGTAATTTTTTAAATACAATGTAATTCGAAAGCAAACCAAGAGCTTTAGATAATATTTTGTTATCTCAGTAATCATGATACAAACTACGGATTCCAATAAACATGAGATGGAAATCGACTATGGCGATTCAAATAATCTTTGGAAAGTTCTTCTAGCGCAAGTTTATCAAATTCGAAAGGATTTATACGCACCAGTACAATTGGTTCGACAAATCACGATACCTGGGAATAGTATAAGAAATGCAATTGAACATACGTAAGTTTGTTTACTTCTCAGTATATTGCTTTTTTGTTTGATCATTTGTTTCCAGTTATTTGAGGTGATGATCACTTATTCTAACGTTTAATAGACCATGCATCTTTGTACTATGATGAAAGATTATTTACGTGCAAAAATACTCTCTCTTGCACTGCATCGCAAGCACAGGTATGACCCAGGCAAACAAGACTTCATTTAATGTAGCTTAAAAACATACTAACTTGATAACTAAACTCTGAAACACTAGAAAATCGATCAATTTGACCACTCGCATTTTTTTCCGTAAACATATAGATATACGGTGACTGATCACCACCTAGTTATCATTCTCTTTTTTTATAGTCGTGATTGAATTGTACCTACCAAGTCTCATCGTGCCTACTAGTCCAAATGATTTCCGAATACTCCTAACCATCTAACATCAAAACAGTGCATGCTATATTGAGCAACTTGGATCAACTAGTAGGCACACTAGAATTCGATTTGTACAATTCTGTCAGCACTAACTTACTGAACAAACACGACACTCATCACTACTTGATGATTAATCAGCGTAAAGATACCAGTCTTATCGGAGGTCAATCTCTTCCCAAACAGCTCAATGTTAAGGTCTTTGACTGAAGCTGAGTGATCCCAGTTCGAACCCTACAAGGATCATCAGTCCCCTCCAGATTGTAGGTGATATATGGTACGACACCTAGATCCAGGATTTTCTTCCGCCTACCTCCAACCACATAAGGTACGTAGATGTAGATAAATGCGTACGTATATTGATTCATCGTAAAGAAAAAAAAAGTAAATCTACTAATACGGTTTGGCAACCATAAATAATCACAGACTACTTTGTAGATGTATACTTATCTTCCCTCATCTCCATCTTCTCAAATTACCCTATATTGTAATTAATTAGCTAACGATCTACAAAAATTACATGTAACGATACAATATATACATATAAGCTTACAGGTTTTCTCAAAAACTTTTTGATGCACTTTCATTATGTTTCTGAATATGATGCATATTATGGGTTTAAAGGTAGAAAAACATAAGGAATCTGACAAATTAGATTTAGATATTTTTCAAAATAATGATTTCATTTTTTCCTATAAAAATTTCGATTGATAGTTGTGGCTTGAAATGAATTTATCATCAAATAAATAACCAGATCAACGAACTTTAGTTTATTACTATAATAATCACAACACCAACTCAAAGCACTAATTCACTTACACAACAAAAAATTTCTAACACGAATTCAACACGGAATTGTGATGCCTTGAGTTAGTAGCACCACGCCTCAGTAAATATTCCTTTATTTTCTTCAGTTTCTTATTATTAATAGCCAGTAAATTCACTAACTATTCTCATCTATCGATCATCATTAACATTTTATCGAAGCCACTTTTATACTAGTAACCAGTATAAGTCATAGTAGGTGATTAAACGGTTTGCATCAAATGTTGATAATAACAATAATTGACTTTTTTCTAGAAATCAGTGACTAACCTCAACACTGATCACTACTTGGTAGTTTCACAATATATTAACAATTGCCTAATGATATATATACGTGGTTTTAACCTTTCATCCACTAACATAACAGAAAAGTGTTATATTAAGCCATCCATTTCTATTTTCTTACGATCTAAAAACAAGTTAACAAGTTCACTGTAGCGCACGGTAGCAAGCTCCTGAAATTTTATTCACATCTGGACATAGCAAAATATGTTAAAACATTTGTTCATCAATTATACCATTATACGTTTCCCTTTCATTCCAGTTATCATATAGACATTTTTAAAACTCATCTCGTTTCATCAAACATATTATACTTTTCCCTATGTAGAAATGTATGGACATATCATTTGAATGATCAAAGTAATCCAAGAATACTTGATACTCATACTTCAATAGGTGGTGGAGGATATTCAGATTTTGGCGTAAATTTTGATAAGAAGTCACAACCATATCACTTTTTTAAGAATCATTTTCGACGTAGTATTTCGGCACAGAATTATCTATCTGGATCAGATTTACATCGTTCAAAACGTCAAATGTCCCATCCTTTTTCTAAGAGATTTACTGCTCGGTCTATTTTTAATTATAATGACAAGAATTATAATAATCTCGGTGAAGAAGTAGACTGGCATTATCAGAAGACCCTGACAGTAAGTGATAAACGTTTATCGAATTGGTAACTCACTTCTAGTACTATTTTTTTGTTAGGATCATTACTTAAAAATAACTGATAATTTCCGAACCATTTCTTTTGCGTACAATAATAATAGTGTCATTCTGAGGAACTTGAAAGTTGATAATGTCAAAATCATAGTTTAATAAACAAACTTCTGCAAAGCATGTTGAAATAGTCTCATCCTATAAAAACAGAGAATCAATATTATAAGATTTACTTAATACCTTAGATGGGTTGATTTTCGAGATTTCATGACGTTGGGATATTCAGAAAAATATACCCTTGAACGTTAAATGGTGTCATTTTCCTATTGGTCGTTTCCCTACTGATCAATGTTTATTTCGCGTGTCATTTTCCCATTGGTCAATATTATTTCACGTATCATTTTTCGGTTGGTCAATATTTATAGTAATCCTAACTGTATAAATATGCATTTGTTTGTAAATCATTATTCTGATCCTGACCCCATAAACAATTTTTCATCTGAGGTTTGTGTTATGATATATTGGAGATTGGGTAACAGTGTTGGGGTCGAACTGGGATATCTGAAGCTGGTCAATCGGTAGAAATTAGAGTAGCCACCTCGCGATTCACAATACATGACTCAGTGGTCCAGATGAATCCACCTTTAATTTTTAAAACTGGAGGAGCTTACAAAACTGTTGGTTACATAAAAACAAAATCGTTTCAGTTTTTTTTATAGATCTATACTGTTGATTATGTTTACTATGGCATTAAAACATTCACTAGTCAATTCACCCAAATATGTTAGCTTTGTTTGAGTTGCCCCACAGAAATCAAACCTAATAGTGAAAAAAGAACAGCGGATTCATTGTGTAACATTATGGTTCCAAATGCGAATATCTTTTGGGCGCTGACGTCAGCTTGGAGGAAAGAGGTTTTTCTTATCGTTCAGCTTATTTCAAAAATCGGTATGAAAAATACAAATGAGGGGTGTAATTAAAGCCTACAAATTAATATAGTTTCTTGGCTGTCAGTGTCTTATTTATATTTGTTTATGTATTTGTTTTTAGGTGAATGGTCAAAATCTGCTCAATGTTAATTTTAACTGGGCATTACAATTAGAAACTTATCAACATGTTTCAACTGGACACATTCTTTTGCAAGTCGTGTATAATGCGAATTTTCAACCGATGATTTTTAATGCTTCTGCAAATTACTTGCAATCGGCGGGAGCACATGAAATGTTTTATCCAACAAAAGCAGATTATATACGACCAGCCACATTGATACTTGCATATACAAAGTAATTTATGGTTTATCGATATACTGTCTTACTAATATAACCTATATGAGATACCTTTTAGTGTATCCATGGCCGATAGTTGGTGGGGAAACCGATTTCCAGCTGGATTCTAGTCAACAGTCGTCATCTTACCAGTTTTCATTACTCACTATGATTGATAAAACTCATCAGTCGTTAGACAATTAGCTGTAGTGAGAGAGGACTGTTCTGTGTTTTCCTTATTCACATGATACCTGAATGTAGCGTGTTTGCTGTTTGAATTAGAATTAAACTCAGATTAGTAATTACATCTCGTAGCTCAGATACTTAGACACACAATAAGCCATTATAAAGGTGATTATTCAATTAGTTTACTTTTAATTCAGTCACCATCATTGTGTAGATTAAGACAACGGTATTCTATGTTCCATGTTAAATCAGTGTACTAATAAAACAAACTATATGCCTATATATACAATTAGTGGAAATGTATATGAGCAAATTAGTTAAGAACTTTAGCCACATAAAAAAACTTCAAAACATATTTCCCAAATAGAATGGTACAGAATAATAGCGAGAATTCATAGAAAATAAAATATTTATTGGTTCCTTTATAGTTGTTCCGTGTTTTTAATTATAGCTATAATGAATTCTGAATACTATGTGCTTCTATAAATACTAATGATATGATCTTTATATTCATATTTTGTAAAGTTGCAAGGATATCGTTGACTAGTTTGGTTACTTAGCTGTTGGCTCTGAATATTTCTAACAGTAACAACAGTATAACTGAATTAATTATGAATTTTTAAGTAAAATGACCATTCGCTTATTTTTCTTAACTTTTTAGGACTGGACATTTAAGTGCAGTTGAGTGGGGAAATGCAAGTTATCATTTTTCCTATGATGTTCTGAATCGATTGAAAGCAGCCGATTTAGGAAGACCTGCGGATACTTTATCATTTCAATATGGAATCCAAAATATTCCATTTCAGGTAATCATTAATTTTAAGCTCAGATTATATCGTAGTCGAGTTGAACAGCTTTTTTGTGTTTTTCGAGAAACATTTAGATTATTAAATTTTTCTCTGAAACTAGCTCTGAATAAATTAGTAACAATTAATACTTGTATGGATTCCTAATATGACAGTAGTTCAACAATTCCTATGATAGGAAAGAGAAAAACAGAACAATATAGAACTTCGCAGAAATCTCATAGCTTCAACTGGTTACAACATAAGTGTACACAAATTAAATAGGTATACAGTACTCAAATGATGAATACTTAGAGGAATATAAGTAACAATCACATTTACGCGATTGTGACCGATCTTGCTTTATATTATTTAAAGTCTGCAATTAGTGAATATCGATATCTTGATAATTCTCATCAAACAACATTCACTGAGTTGTTTTACCCTGATTAGGTGTTAATATCTTTATTGACTAGTTCGATCACCCTTCGCCTTTTCCTAAACTATCTCTACGTATACCGAAATTATGCATCAAGGGAGGCCATATAGAAACGCATCTCTCAGCTACATTGCTTGTCCGTAGCTCACCAATCTGTATGAGCTAATAAATCGGCAAATATTTATAATGAAAATGCTAATTAAGTTTAGATACATTATATCTCTTTTAGTTTTTTCAGCGTTAATGCCAACATTATTAATGAAAAGAATGATGCATTACTTTTCTATAAACTAAGATAATGATAATCCTACAAAAATATGTATTATATAATGATAGTCGTTTCTCATAGACCGATATTAGCTGAAAGACTAATTAAGATTGACGAACTGAAGAAAAGGGTTTAATTTGTGGTGTTAACCATAATATATGTTTATTGTTTTAATCCTACCAACTGAAGTTAGTATTTGTTGCATTGGTATTTGCCACCTGGCCCACTGTAAATCAATGGTGCTTTCTGATTATTCTTTTGCTTCAACAACACTATAATTTACATGTCAATGCCTAAAATATTCGACAAAGTTTTATTTTTAGAAAGAGAATTGTAAATCTTATCAGTTTTCAAAGTACTAACCGGAAGATGATCATTGAAATCAATGTTTAGATTACTAAATAACTATTGAATTATGACGAAGTATTTTTTGTCGTATGAAGTATTTGTTTTCATGTTGATTTATTTCTATAAGAATTCAAAAATCATGTCTCCTATAATAATTATGACTGTAATTTTACTTCAAGTAATAATATCTTGGTCTACTCAGCGTCGAAATTCAAGACGCTCTCATCGAAATAATAAACGTGTATTACACTTTTTAAATATATTGCGCTGAAAATTTCAAAGAGTTATGCTTTAAGTGTAGTGTTCATTATGATTCTTTCTTCCTTCTGAAGTGTCAACTAGTCGTCTAGTTCTTAACAAAGTTATAATTACTTGTATTTGTTAACCTTCTGATTAGAAAATAAAGCGTTTTGCTATCGATCTATAACTGAAACTGGAAAATAACCTGGAATTTAAATCTGTTTTACTGATTGAATGCTGCTCACTCAACTGACTGAGCTGTAAAAAGCCTATACAAAGAATAACTCTGATTATTGTGCACATTAATGATTAGTTGACATATATTGTCTGTTCACTATTTATTTAAAACTAATTATCAATTACTTTAATTGTTCTATTTATTTATTTATTTATTTTATTCAGTAAAAAATGTATATTCTTATCTGTTTGCAACTTACAGCCAACAATGGTTTCTGTGAGTGGATCAGGTCTCTACACATTACTTTATTCTGATAGCTTTATTGGGTCTAGTGAACATCAAGAAGCTAGTTCATTATCATCATCAAAATCAGACTATATTGGTCTTTCTGGAGTTATCACTCCAACCGGTCTTAGACGTCAGTTTACTCGAATCAATGGAATAAAAGTTAATCGTTTGATGTTTACACCATGGCTAGACTCACCCGGTTCCTGGGTCTATGAATGGGGAAGTGATGTTGGTAGTTCTATGAAATTATCATCAGATCATTCACACTTGCTTCGTTTCATATGGCCAAGTAGTTATAGGCGTATATCAATATTTCCTAAACAAAATTTCGTAATTTACGATAAAACATCAGTTCGATGGGATTCTAATGGTTTGAAGCAACCAGTTAATATATTAACTGCTCCACTTGTACAGTTGACGGATACTGCATCTGGTTTTCGATTACAGTATCAGCGTATCTTTCAAGGAAGTTTATTACAATCTTTGCATATAAATCACCGACTACCAGGTGTAAAAACTGCCCATCCTAATCTTGGAGGAATCCTGAATGCGAAATTCACTTATGGTTATGACTTAAATATGAATGTAAGTTTTCCTGAACGAGAATTTTTTTGTATTATACATAATGTTATGTGTTATTACGTTTACTTCACATAAACCTCTTCAAGAATCATTATAATTACCAAGTACTTTGAAAATTCCTCAGAAGACTGTACCGTTATCTTCTGTCGCACACACACCTAATCACATGATAACACTAATAATGTAGAATAACTACTCTCCTCTTTATTCAGTGATAAATAGTCGGAAAACATATTAGTCCACCTGATTCTCATAATATAATGTTTTGCAAAATTTAACAGTCGAATATTAAAACTATCATATGGAAGCTATCACACTTCAGCGATGACCTCAAAACAGATGAACATTAGTACTAAACTAAGATTCTCAAACACCCCTTGCAACTCCTCATCCAAACGTGTTCTATGCGGGTTTTATTGTTTCATTCAGGATTTCACTAAACGACTTCACAAATAGGGGTTATATAGCATAACTAACTTCTCAATGTCCTTTACCAGTCCAAACAGTACCTATATGTATTTGCCACTAATTCTTGATATTCACATTGGCCAATCGCAGGTAAGTGAGTAATTCAATGTTATTATGTTGTTATATGTAGGTTGATGTATACGTCTTTGAACAATAATGTTTTCATGAGGGTTAGTGAATTCACTTCATCAGTTTATGAACCTGTGACCCATTGTTTGAAAATCTTTTTCTTTAACCATTAAGCTACTGTTGCACCAAGTCACTTCTCCAAGGAGACGCGATCTTTCTCTCTGTGTTTGTTTTATTCTCAATAATTATCGTAGTGCTGTATTATGGAGTTTTTTTTCAACTAACCTGCTGTTGTGTGTAAATCTTTGCAATTTCGAAATGAATGGCGTAACTAAGGTAAAGTTTGTATGGAATCAAGTACGACGTTAGGGACTTGTAATATATCTTTTCATTAAAGTGGCAGCACGAAATATCAGTATGAAGAGAGTTTTTATCAGAAAACTTAATTACGACAGTACTTACACATTTATTTTCCTCTTAGTT